TCCTTGGAGTGTATACTGACCTCTTCCTGCTTGCCTGGGAGCATCGTAGTTCATGTTAATTACAGTCCTGGAGCTGCTCTGATCAAGGTCAGACACTGGAGAAAGATTAGTCTAAGTGGTCACTGGTCACACCTCCATTCCTCTGCCTGCATGACATTAATGTGCAGAGCAGTAAGTCAACGACAGTAATTAACTGACTATTCACAGTTTACTCATTGGCTCAGTTTTCAGACAGAAGAGTGTTGCTCTTTGTTTGTTTCTCTGTAAAAGAAGGTATGACTCTCCCGGGTTTGCTGGGGACTTTTGTCCTCTCTGTAGAGCATATTTCGGTTGCGTTAAATGAGGTCAGACAGCTGAGTTGGAATCTTGTGCAGAGATTAGGGGTAGTTGCAGGTAGGCCTTTCTTTCATTTCATGCTGTTATGTTTCCATAACATATGCGTCCATATGTTTATAATACAGGTGAGTTGTGCTGAATCTTTCTTTCATCACATTGTCTGCAGTATTTGATACCAGTGTTAGGGCAGATGTCCTGTAGGAGCTTCTACCATACGTGGTCTCGTAGACTCAGTGTTGTAAGGTATTGTTTTAAGAATGTTTAAATCTATTGTTCAGTATGTTCTTATTGCTGTCTACAGCATGAAGGGCATACACAGTTACTTGCTTACACCTCAAATGCGATCTTGTAAGACTTGCACTTAGTGCAGATGTAGACATCTTCTTCAGATGTTAAAAACACCTCAGAGGGTTCTACTAGACATTTTGTTTTAAAAAGTGTTTCTTTCTGTTCCTAGGCACTGTACAGACATCGTGTGCTGTGTGATCTTCATAGTCGTCATTCTGGGTTACATTGCATTAGGAGTTGTGGGTAAGTACAGCAGGTGCAGTCCTGCCAGTTCCTCTCTCTGTTATGTCTGTCCTCTCAGGCAACGTGGTTACGGTGATGTGAGACAATGAAGTGATTTTATTCCCTTCTCTGCACATGCAGTGGTTTCCTGCTGAACAGGAGGCATCTGAGCAGCCTTCCCTTGCAAACCTTACGAAATGCTGCTGACAGCTAGAACCTGTTCCTAGAACCAGATACTGAATTTGTAGCTGGTGACTTTCTCTACCTTTCTTACAGAGAAGATCTGAACTTTCAATCTAGAAATATTTAGTCCAGCTCCAGGTCCACATGGTCCCTGCTTTTCATCTTTCCTTGTACTGTGCTTCAGCTATTCTTTTTACTCTAATTTATTTCTAAGTAGAAGATGAGATCAGCTTTGGCCCAGTTCCAGGGGCCAGCCATGTACAAAGTACGTGAGAGTCAACGAGGTGTACATTAAGAGAAAATAGATTCTGAATCAATCCTTACTCAATAATTATGCTTTATTATGGAATGGAAAAGGTATTTCTTGAAAATGTGTGAATGCTGCTTTGGATCCCTGTTTAATTTGGCTTGAGAAGTAAACAATAAATGCAGGTTCAGCACACAACTGCTATGGCTGAAAATGTGAGTCGAAATTTGCCCTTAGTAATGTATGTATAGCTCACATGTGTGTTTTTGTAAGCAGCAGTGGAATATTTGGTGTTTCTGTGGCTTGGGATGTAGTCTGAGTAAAAGGTAACCAACTCTTGAAAGATGAAAACAAATTGATTTTTGCTACTGGCTGTGCTTAGTTCTGCTTCAGTGGTGGCTGCTGTTGAGTGACTGTACTGAATAGAAGTTGTTATTCTATGATTTACTTTCTCATTCTTTAAACTTTACAGATGAGCTAATAGTGCTAATTTAACATTCCATGTTGGTTTTCCTTCCTGACAAACTGGCTTAACTTTCATGTATATTCCAGAGACTTTGGGCTTATCTGGGTGATACTTTATAAATGTTTAGCATCTTAATTCAAGATTATTTTAATTCAGCAAAGTGCATGTAAAAGGCAGCAAATAAGGTACCCTGGAAAAAAGCCTCACGTCAAAGGACACTTTAATTTAAAGTAATGACTCTTGCTGTGTTACTCTGATACAGCAAGGGATGCTTCTACAATACCGGTGTTAGGCACATGGATTTACAAATTCTGTATCACTTATTCTATTACCTTTTTCAATACCTTGATAAATTGCTTGTATTAAAAAGCCGTAAGAACACTTTGGCAGGTCAGTTTCTTCATACACTAAAACATGTAAAATACACCCTTAAGGGAAGCAAAATAAGAATAGAAAAATTGCCCTTTCAAAAACACACAAGAGAGGGAATGAGAGAGGATGTATACCCAGATAGATTTGCAGTTTGTTTTTAAGTGTCACAAGATGCCATTGCTCTAATCACATTTTCTCCTCGACATGGAGCTTTCTAGCCTTTACAACCACTGACATATCCCAGAAAGCACAGAAAAAGGAGTGCATCTGACAGGCACTGAGTGACAGACATTGGCTATTTTTGATACTGCCCATGTGTGTTGGTTCCACATAGCTGCAGGCCTCCGGAAAACACTATTCTAGTGTCATAGAATGTCATGTTGCCACTCTGAGAGCTGAGTCAATGCTGCAATATGGTTCAGCTGCTCTTTAGCTTTAGCCCAGATGTTTGTTCCAGGACTCATGAGCATCAGAGCATGCTGGAATCAGGATTGTATGTGGCTGGATTCCTTTTCATTTAGTCACCAGCAGTGCAGTACAACATGCAGACCATGATGCTGCTCTCTCTGTCGGGCTATTTCTTACAACAACCTTCTTTTCAGTGAGAACTGCCGAGTTCTGACTAGAAGTTGTTTATTTGTCACCTGTATTCTTTCACTGTCATTGCTCAAAGTTTGCAAAGAAGGCAACAGAGGATTAAGTTTATTAATCTTGATGTTAACCCCTGGCACAGGCAATGAAAGCAGCTGTGTGTTTTTTCTTCTGTGGGTCATTTTCCTTCTCTTTCTGCTGCAGAGTTAATGAAATGCTAAATATATATGTCTTAAATCAGACACAATTAGTTTTCATTTTGCTTTGGGATTTAGCTGAGAGGTGACTTCCTCCATCCCCCAGCTGATCCCAGTGGTGGAATTTCAAAAAGTGTGCTAAATCTGCTGTTCAAAAAGCAGACTCTTTTTCATACTGTCTTATTGAAAACATGACTGAAGCCTTAGGCACACAGGAGAACTACTGCCAAGGACAGCTTTAGACAATCTGATAATGGCAAAGCAGGTACGGTTTACAATCTCCTAATTTCTACTAGTAATTGAGAAAAAACACTGCAAAAGGTGGGTGGTTAAATTTGAGACCAAGGATTCATACAAACCCAGCAAAACCAAGGGAGCCTTTTGAAATACTTGAGCAGGCTTTGCATTAGAATTGAAAAGAGAGTGAGGAGAATGCTCTGCTCTGCCCATTCGATGAGCTGAACTTTGTTCTTGTTGGCTGTGTTAGTCCACCCAAGCAGACTGGAAGAAGTAAGCCTGGCTCTCGTGAGCCCTTCCTAAGGAAAGATCCTTAATGAGACTGCGATAGCAAAACAAAATAATCAATTCCACCACCATTATGTTGCAGTGTTTATCTCCTTTCTCCCAGGTTTCTCTGAGGAGTGAAAAAGAATTCCAGGTTTAATATGAAAGGGATATTGTTGGCAGTAGCAACAACTCCTGGATTACAGAAGCGAGGTCATATTAAAGCAGAAACAAAAACTCCCTCTTGTCAGTCATGATGGAATAGAGTGCACATGGCAGAACATAGAGACTCTTTGCAGTCACCAGAGAGCCTCCTGCTTTCTAATATCATGTGCACACATGAGTTATCAACTGACTGTAAGAATTCCTAAGAGGGAGTTGATGCCTCCTAAATATTCCCTTTAAGCAGTGCTACTGAAATATGCCAGTGGGGCTAACAAATGAAAAAGGGAGTGATGCTTAACACTGTTGAAGCGCTTTAGCTTTTTCTGAGTGTCAGAACATCACAGTTATTCTGAAATGCAGCTGATTGGAAAGTCCAGAAAGTGTTTGATACCAAGCAGCAGGTTGATTTCCGAACTCCAAAGCACAGGAAAACTAATGTAGGTTAAAAGAACTAGCAGATTCATTTTAGTAACCTAAAAGTGTTCCAGGTGAAAGGCGGCATTGCAGATGCTCTGTCAGTGTTTGCAAGTCATTGAAGATGCTGTGCATCTGTCCTGAACGTTTCAATAAATTTACACTCTGCTGCTCTGAGATCTTACATAGGCTCTGCCTCTCCTACACATATTGTTGTTAAGCGCTGTTGTTCTTACCAAAGTGACCTTGAGGAAAATGACAGCTGCACAAATGACTAAATATAATGTCACAAAGTTGAGAGAAAATGGGATAATTACAGAGAAGCAAGTTCAAGGTGGTTTGCATAGTTCAAAGCCTCAAGTGTATGCTAAGTGGGCTCCTGACATTTAGTATATAGTGCGGATGGGGAACATTGGGACGGGAAGCTTTGTAATGCTTTTAATCTTTCCCACATAATACAAGCACAAGGAGGTGTTTGGAAGAAGATCCAATTTCTAACAGCTCTTTAGCAACCTGATTTTAGGGTGTCATCTCAGGGTAGTGATAGGGAATTCTATTCTGATATTACATCTTCCTTTTAGATGATACTTAAAAATACATGCAAGTTCCATTCCTTCGGGTCAAGGTAAGCAGTTAGTCAGGAGAGTTCAAAGGTTAGACTTTGGCTAGTCATGAAGGAAGCTAAATCAGGTCTGCACAGTACAGCTTAGGAATGGTGACACTAGTAGTGACAGCTGGTGTGTACCTGATCCTTAAGGGGAAATCACGGTGCAGGTGGAAGTGGCTTGGAGAAGAAATCCTGCTTCAAAGTGGAGAAAAGTTTAAAAGTTCAATATAAACCTCTTCCCATTCAGTGCCATGGTTGTGGCTAGTCCATAGAATACACAAGTTGCCAGGTGCAGACCTAATAACTAAAAATGGGAAAGTTGCCAAGTTGGGAAATGTTTAATTTACAAAGTGAGAGTTCATTTCCATTCATAGTGCAAATGGAGTCCATTACATTTGGTCACGCCTTTTGTGTATCCGTCACACCCCCACTTAATCCCATTAATTTCAATTCCATTGAAATGTTGTCAGCACTCAGATTTGTCTACATAGTTAATTCCTCTTCTTTCCCCTTTTGAAAACCATCAGTTTTTAAGTCCATTATGCCATATTTTGGATACAATCCAGATACACGTGCCCTGAAGGTAAAAAGTGAGCTGGTTTGCTTTCTTCCTGCTTCATCCGTATCTTAGTTCAGGTTAGTTTGGTTTATGTTTTGGTGTTCCATTAGGAGCTCTACAAATCAATACTCTTCAGTGGTGATCAACAGAGATTAAACGGTACATTAGGCGTGATACATATTCATGCTGGTCTGCTTCAACTATTAACTGTGTGCACTTGAGTAACATGCTAAAAGACGATGTGTGTGTTTGCAGCTTGGGTGCACGGCGACCCCAGGAAAGTGATTTATCCAACTGACAGCTACGGGCAGTTCTGCGGTCAGAAAGACACCCCCAATGAGTGAGTACTCGATGCATTCACATACCTCTGTTACTCATGCAGTGTGAAAAAGGTGTGAAATTTCAAGTTTCTCTGTCTGCTGGGGCTTCTCTTGGGAAGCTGAAGAAACAGCGACACTCTTCCTGTATTTTTATAGCACATCAAGGTCAGAAATAGATGAGTTGCTTGGTGCATGTGTAGATCCAAATTATTACTAGAATGCAGTCATTCAGAGAATCTTTTTGGTAAAGGATCAACATAGCTTAAAGATGGCATCACTAATTGCATTGCAAGTAACTAGCTGGCAGAGCTTTTTACTACCCAGGTTTGGATAGTTAATTCTTTTATCCACCTTGGAGCAAGAGTAGTCCTAAAGCATTATTGCCTGGGTCTTATTTTTTTTCAACATGTACCAAATAACAGAAGAGACCAGAAGGAGAAGCACCTGGGGCTTTTTTTCTGGTTTTTACCCAGTGCCGGTAGAGAGGAGACTGAGAGGTCTGGAAGCAGGCAGCTCTAAGTACACCTTCCCTGGCATACCTGCCGAGTGGCTTCCTTTGCTTGTCTCTGTTTCCCAGTGGTTTTAAATCCTGAATTGTGAGAGTTAAATGAATCAGTTGATCTCAATAGAGCACTTCTGCATGGAAATAGCTGCTCAGGAAGGAAAGGTGTCGCATCGATGTTTCCTCTGAAAAACCTAAGTTCTTTATGAAACAGAATTGTAAAGACAGTTTGTTTTTTCCCTCCTCTAATTCTCCCTTTTAAAAAGTAAGTATTAGGCACCCTTTATGCCCTTTGTCACTGTAAAGAACCTCAAGGCTCTGCAGGAAGCAAACCAGAAGCTAATTTTTGGTAGCAGCTCTTTGCTGCTTCTTTCTTTTCCCATTTAGTTTTCTAATGGGGAAAAACCGTGAGGAAGACTCTGTCCAAAGGACATTCAGAAGGGAAGGAGCAGGAGATGGGGAGTTGAACAGAGGCAGAGCTAGGACTTCATATCCTCTCAAGTTTTTGTTACAGAGGAAACAGACTAAATGGTGTAAGAAGACCTGTTCCACCCTCTGAGATTCTTCACAGCAGGTTTTGGAGAGGCCAACTTCCTGAAGGGGAAAAACTAGGAGCAAAAGTTGTTGTGTTGTGTGTTCCCCTCACTGCACCCCTCGCCTGCTCCCCTTCTCACTCCCAATTTGCTCTTGTGCCCTAAGGTCAGTACGAAGCAATGGGCAGGTGGGTTTGGGAGCCTCAGACCCACAGTGTCCATGCACTGTGCGGTGTGTAGCCAGATGTGTGTCTCTGTTATCGTCCACTCCCGTTCCTCCTTCTGCTCTGTTACATCCCATTCCTTCTTTCTATTTGTTAATCAAGACTTCCCTTTGGTTATTTTTTACAGTGTGATTTCCAGTTCCTATCCACAAATGTCCCTCCATCTGTATGATTGCTGCAAAGTAATACAGCTGCTGAGACTGCATTTTGGCACTTACTGGCCACGTTGAGGAGTTTGTTATAAAAATATAAGCCAAAAGAGACATAACACAACCTATTGGAAAGCAGGAGTGATCATGGCAGTAGGCCAGGAGGCCCCTCTGAACAAGTACCTCTGGTCCCTGAAAGTGGAGGTGTGGGATGTGCTCATCTTGCCTTCACCAATGCCATTGTCAGGTTTTTCTGCTGCCCTGAAAGTAAGCACTGTGAAAGGCTAACCCAGGACTATGGTTTTCCTGAGTCCCTAAGGCCTTACTCTGAGAAGTTTTTCTTGGACAGTGATCACAGTCTCTGTGGCTTTGAGTCTTCTGCTTGGAACAAGCATTCACAGCAGCCTCACTGAGGAGTAGAAAAGAGAAGCTAAAAACCAAGCCAGCACTCACAGCTGATGCAAAAACCCATTTGGATTCCAGTGAATTCCATGCAGTCAAGTTAATTCTACTTTGTGCTGTCTTGAGAGTCTCTCTTAGGCCTCTTTGTGTCTACCTGCAATCCATCCATTAATCTCCATGTAATCTGTAAGCTTGTTTTGCCTCCTGCAGAGCACAGTGTAATCATGGAATACAGCATAATTTCATTATAAAGACCACAGACCTAGTTCTCGGTGGCTGTTTTCTTATGTCACACACATATTTAAACTTCTTTTCCTGCTGTCGAAATCAGCAAGTGGGCTAAGTCCTATGGAAAAAAAATGATTCCATTAATGGCCTTGAGCAGCTCATGGATTATGAGCACTGTCAAGGAGCTATTGCAGAGCGATGGCATTTCAGTCCAAAAGTTTGCTCTGTGGATTTGCAGAAATCACAGCTCATGTTAGTGAAACTGGTTTTGCCAGGATGCGTGGTTTGTTACCAGTGCATCGCAGAACAGACCTTGGTGAAAACAATTTAACCTTGTAAAATGTGAGGCACTTGAGCTAACCCCAGTTTTAAAGGGAGCTTGAATGTGCAGTGAAATTCCAGAAGCTGTAACGTGTGAGGATCTGGGGTGCAAACTCCTCAGACTGTCCCTTCTTTACATCACAGGAGGTTTGTCAGGGGTAGGAGCAGATGCTATCATTATCATTCTTTTTCCTGGCCAGCTGCTTTCAGGTTTCAGCCATAAAAAGCTTTTGATTGATTTTGGTGCCACCTTCTGATCAGCCAGAAACAGGCAGATTTCACAGTGTAGCATTTGCCAGTAGTGATTTGGCATGCAGTGCACACACTGTGTTCAGTGTAAGCAGAGGGACCACAGAGGTTTTGCAGGGGTATTTTACAGACCTCGCTTCTCAGAGGCAGGACTACAGATGCCTCTAACAGTGCCTCGGTTGTTTCAGCTTAAAACCATGTGGTGAAAAAGCCTTCTCAAAAGTTAGCATTCTTTAACTCGCATAGTTCCTTAGACCAAATACTTCTGGTTTCGGTGCTGTCTTGGCATGAAACACCCAGGGTCTGCTTGGGATTTTTGGGGGTGGTTTTTTTTTGCTTTGTATTTGCAATATGACCAATCACAATAATAGAATTTAAATATCAATATATGCTGTCCGGTTTTGAATGGTAGGATGTGCAAGCACCCATAATTACAATATTACTTATCTTATGTCCACTTCCATAGGAACAAGACCATTTTGTTTTACTTCAACATTCTGAAATGTGCCAGCCCCGTGGTGTTAATAAACCTACAGTGCCCTACAACACAGGTGAGTGAAATACTGAGATAATGTATCTTCCTTGCCTCTTAGTCATTGTGCTTAAGAACTAGACATACATTTGTTTGATTTAAAAATTCATATCCTTCAAAATGTAACATGATTGGTTTATAGATGACCTGTAGCACACGGTCCCTGTAGCCTATGGTGGTCAGAAAAAATAAAGAGAAATGCACAAAACTGAGTATTTTGGATAAGAGTTGACAAAAAAAAAGAAATGGTCTGTTTAGCTGAATGCAGCAACTTGTGGCTTACGAATTCATCACAAGCAGATGTTGAGTAGTAATCAGTGCATGCAGAAAATACTTCTGATCAACATCTAGGGTTTTCCAAAGTAGACGTGTTCAAGAAGATGTGCATATCCCCAGTGACAGGAGTATCTGGGTATGGTTAGAGCCTGCAGCACTTTGAAAAGTGAAGATCTTGAAAGCTTGTTCTTGCCTTGTGCCACAATTTGTACTTCCTTGGCTGTGCTGCAGCATCTTGTGAAGCTATGAAATAAACCCAGGCACTGAGCTTGTGTGGATTAACATCATCCTGCTGATGTTTTTTACATGAGACCATTTCACTGACCTGCTTTGTTGAACAATTGCACAGTTATGCTCATCTGTTCCATCTTCTAGGGCAACAACTTACGGCATGGGGTAGGTCAGAGGATTTAGGTGAAGGGCTGCTCTGATCCAGCTTTGCTGCCAGAGTATTTGTACTGTGTAACTAAGCTGCAGGTGACCAAGTATGGTCTTGGCCATCTTGACAATACTCAGTGAGGTCCAGTATTAATCTGGATGAGGGTTGTTACATGGTCACCAATTTACTGATTCCAAATGTTAATTGTCTTTATTTAACTATCATTTAAAAACGCTTCCCATTCCAGCTTGCCCTTACTTCTGATCCCTGTCCTTGATAGATGTTTCTGGCCTATCAGTTAGTGTGACCATATGGACTATTTGACACAGCTGAAGAGATGGAAATCTCCAGCAAAGAATAGCAAGAGTCCTCTTAACACTGACCAGCTGCTGTTGGAATGGAAACTTTTCTCTGTCAGCAGCAGGTTTGTTCCAGGAATCCCTGTCTGTTCACATGCAAACACTGACACTGTTACCCTGCAGTCTTTAGACTCTGTTACTGGAACACTCCAGCCTGTTCAGAAATCCTCCAGTCATTGTGTGGGATGTGACTGGGGCTGTGGGCAAGTTGGCAGTAGTCATGAATCGAGTAAGGTGAAATATTTGTTGAAGGAGAGTCTGGGGGAGCAGAGTAGTTGTTTTGTTGATTTCCAAATGTACAACATCTCCAAAGCACGGAAGGGTTTTGGCTGTTTGCTCCTGCAGATGGTTAATTCTCTGGTCTCTTGTGAAAAGCTCTTTTGATAATTCCTCTTTTGAGCTGCAAACAAGGTCTTTCATTCCTGTCCCGTTCATATCAAACAGCAGGAGGGAAAAAAACAAAAACTGGTGTGGGAAGGGCTTCAGTTCTTGAGTAAAACACTGGATTCGCAAACTGTTATTACAGTTCACTGCATCCATAGACAGTGTGTTTCATTGCCTGTTTCACAGGTGAGAAGCTGAGGTCAGAGTAAAGTATATACTTGTTAGTTACCTCTTGTCCCAGCAAGACAAAACTTCTTTGTTCCTTGGCCTGTGGGTAGTGCGCAGGACTGTAGCACCCGTGTAGAATGACCTCTTGCAGCATGCACCCTGTTCTGAGGATTAGTACAAGATCTTTTGGCAAAAGTCCCTCAGGTGAATCGTGTATGATGGAATCCCTTGAGGTGAAGCACAGCTTCGTGCATGATGTCCTCTGGTGCTTGGATAGCAGAGCTTTGCAAAGTGTGTTTGGTTAGCACAGCTCTGGAAACGGTGAACAGCCTTCTGGAAAAGGCTGAAACTTGCTAAACAGATGGACTTCAGACTATGCGGGAGTGTTTAGGAGCACTAAGGAGTCAGACCGGCTGTACACTTGCATGGTTCCAGAGCCCAGCAGAGCCTTCGGGGGCAATGGGACAGCTGCTTCTCCATTCCATGAATCCTAACTTCTGAGTGGATGCTTCCACCAAACCCCAGTCCTTGCCTGATTTCTCACACAGATCTGGTTTATAATGGCTGTACCTCAAGTGCTCAGAATTTCATTCCTGGCATGTGCACCCTTCCTGCTTTGTAACCAGGGAACATTCATCATTAGTCAGCAGTAAAGTCACTTCTGAGTGATTGACACAAAACCATGGAGCTGTGTTTGACTGAAGAGACTGTGTAGAAGGGTTGAACAGTTTTAGCTGCACGAGGCCTTTTCTGAGTAAAGTTTTCCTTACAAATGTGCTAGAAGGACATGAGGTGTGCACTGTGAGAGCAGCAACTGCACCACCTCACTCAGGACGCGGCTGCTGAGGGAGCAGAGGAGGACCCAGCAGATGGTTTTTACTGCTGTTAAAAAACAGTTGTTTTTTTTCCCCAGCAGCCTGGAAGCTCTGCAGATCCACCAGGGTGTGTGGAGCCGACAGGGATACAGGCAGTGCTGGATGTGCCAGGGAAGGGGAGAGACTTGGAAAGTATTTACCAAAGAGTTTGAGAAGTACTCGCCTAGGAAATCACGAGTGCATTGCCTCCCTTTCCAAATGCTGCAGTAAACATTACTGAAGGCAATTCCGTAAAACGGGGCACTTTTACAAGTGACTTTTTTTGTTGCTTTTTGATTGTACTGACTTTCCTTACCCTTCTCTACCCCCAGTGTGTCTTCTTTTCTTGCAGCTTTGTGTCTCAAAGTGCCCAGACAGGTTTGTGACCTACATTGATGTTCAGGCTTCCTACAGATACAAACCCGATCAGTGGAATTACTTCAAGCAGTTCTGCAGACCTGGTTTTAACAGTCCTCGCAAGGTCTGTATGTATCAGGAGGTGATGGAATACTTTTTTTTCTTCAAGCAATGTGTAATATGCATGATTTTACTGAGCTACAGCAAAGCTTTGACTTACTCTGATTTCACCATATAAGTTGTCCGTACATAAGCTTTGACAGTGATTTAATCAGGGATGAAGGTCTTGTATGCACATCACATCCCTAACTCTTTCAGTGATTACTGTTTGCGTAAAGAGTATCTGCAGCTACCCATGTGGTTGCAGTACTGTGGCAAGTATCCTTTAGTACTTAAGTACTCCACAGCAGTAGAGCAGAGTGTCTCAAACCAGTTCTTAAGGCTCCTGAGTTATGTAGAGCTCCTCAGTAATTCAGCTAGGAAAAGAATTCTGTCTTTCACGGAACTGATTCTGGACTCAAACGTACTGTGTTATTTCTGCCATCTCTAAACTGCCTTGCAATTCAGCTATGTTAGTTCTGTTAAATTCTTACTCTTCTTTAAGATAAAAGTAAGGGGGAGGCAAGGAGCAATCGCCCAGTCATTACTGCCTCACCTGCCGATCCAAAGTGAAGAGGTCTTTTCTTTTTTGTCACTAGAAAAGTAAAGAATAGTCTTTTCCCAAATCCCATTGAGAGGCTGGATTCTCACATCATGAATGTATCTTGCAGCTCCAGCAGTCAAGTTTGAGGAGGAGGCTACAGAGTCCAGTTTGGGGCATTTTCTCAGAGTGGGTGGGAAACAAAACCCACGTAGTTAATTCTGCTATGTATTCAGCATTCCTGTTTTTCCCCTTTTTAGTCTGTTGCTCAAGTCCTACGTGATGAAGATTGTCCTTCGATGATCATTCCAAGCAGGCCTTGTGAGTGGTTCTATTTCTTACACACAACTTAGCAGATTGTAAGTGTTCACATGAAAGCACAGCTCCAGTCTGAAAAGTGTTTTGTGGCGCGGTCACAAGGAGCTGGCTCTTACCTGGCAGTGGCATCCCTTCAGTTTTAAACAGTTTGAAAGTATAAAGATTTAGTATTATTTTTACTAGAGTGCCATCCATGGACACTTGGAGTGTGATTGGGTCAAGCTGAACTCTTTCTTGCTCTTGAATCATTGCTGATAAATGCTTTACAGCGCAAACTGTGCTTTCCGAAACACATGAGCACCCAACCCAAGCCAAGCTGTTGGCATGAAGGAAAAGCCATGACTGTAGGAAGGCTCATCTGGGCAGCTGTTGAAGTTCAGGTGGCACTTGAGCCCAGTTACAGCACAACTTGATTTTCAGTGTTGCACATAGTGCTGCCTATGCAGGGAGGCAGAGGAATTAAGGGGACAAAAAGCTAGTTTTGTCACTGTGGTCAGCAGGTGTTTCTGAGTACACAAGCACAGGTCCCAGAGCTCAAAAGCATGTGTCACTGACCTAGAAGCTCATGCAAATGAGGAACTGCTATTTATTTTTCCATGCTTTAAATCAGAGACTGTGTAAGCCAGGCACAGGCTGTCAAAAAGAGAAAATAATGGATGAAATGATAAAAAATTAAAAATCTGTATGAAAATGATGTACTCACCCAAAAGACAGAAAACCATTTGCAAAGAAGCTATTATCTTCTTTTATACTACAGCAACAGGTGAAGATTAGAGAGGGAGGAAAAGAGACATGTTAGTTATTTCCTGAAAATAACTGGGAGGGTAGGTATTCCAGGCTGAATATTGAGCCCAGATACCAGTGCTTATTGGAACCTGATATGGAAAGTGCAGAACCATTAGCTAAAGGTGAAGTACAGCTGTGTAGGAGCTGCTCTTCCCTTTGGAATGAAAACAAGGACTTGGTGCAGCGAAGAGCAGGGCAACATAAATGAGTATGTAAACACCTGTCCTTGTCTCTCTCTTTTATAATCTCCTCCTCCCTCTGTCTAACCAATAGTTTCTGTCTTTTTTCCATTGCTTCCTTTCCAAGAATGTCTGGTGCTGGAGCTCACGGGGCATATGAAGAACTGACACTTGCTGTTATGTATTGTTTTGGGTGCTAATAGCATTTGTGACCAGTCATGTTGAGTCTGTCCCTGGGGGCTGGTTTGATTATTACCATGAAATTACATATTTTAGAAGCCACAGTTTTTGCAGGCTGCCCAGATAGTGACAGAGAGTAAGTTATGCATTTATTACAAATTCTTAAACTGCTGCAGATACTACTGTTGTTATTCGGTAGCACCTAGAATGTCCAGTTGAAAGCTGTGTTCCCACCATGCCTGAGCTGGGACAAAAAGTCCCAGAGCATAAAAATCCTAATTTTGAATAGATTGGCTCTTGCAAGAGTTCTGAGAGTCAACATTCCATTAGATAATCAGCTGAAAAGCAATTGATCTTGACTCTGACATTGTTTAAATATGTCACAAAAGACAAGCAACAAAAGTGGAGCTCATTTGACATGAGGTGTAACATTTCTGCTTTCTTTTGGTATTTTGAATAGTTCTGAAGAGGTGCTTCCCTGACTTCTCCACGAAGAATGGTGTGTTAACCGTGGCAAATCAAACTACATTCAAAGATGGAAGAGGGAAAACAAGAAATGTAACCGATCTCAGGGAAGCTGCAAAGTAGGTTTTACCCTTCTTTAGTGCTTGCGTGTTGGATTCCAAGACTGTGAAATAATTTAGGAATTGAAAAAAAAAGATCAGAATGTCTTGCAGCAAATGGCTGAGGGTACCCAGAGAAGACTTGCTGGTAGATGGTTTCTGTGCCTGAGCACTTGCAAAGTTCCCGTAGGGAAAACCATCACTGTGGTATGCCGAAATGAGCAAGGAGCTGAAAGCTTTAGTGTGCCTCAGATTGACTGTCAGTTTTTAAAACATTCCACTTGGTTTTCCTAGCAAAAGTTAGTACCAAGGAAAGTTAAAGGAGGTTCAAATTGAAGTCCTCATGCAGCAGGACTCGGGCCAGCCAGTAATAGCCTCAGCTCTTCTTTCCAACTAGCCTCAGCTCTTCTTTCCAACAACGGCCTTTCTACTACCGTGGACTGTCCTAGTACTTTGGCATCTCACCTCACTAGCATGCTCCTGTGTTTACCATGTGTCTAAAGGTCTAAAGTCAATGTCCTCGGCTCTGATGCCAGACAGCATCTCTCTTGCAGATGGACAGCAAGCATCTCCAATCCTGGCTAGCAACCAGGAGGAGAGAAAACCACTGCAGTAGCCTCTCTTTTCCAGCTGCTCTCCATCCTCAGCCTGTCTGAAGCACGAGGATACCTTTTCTTATCTCTAGATCTGAGGCTACCACATTCTAGCACCTTACCAGCAGTGGTAACACCGGCACCTTTCAAAGCTTCGTCCTTCTGGCATCTATGACTACATTGTTTGTTCTTTGATAAGATGATTCTTCATTTCTTCTAATGTTAGGAGAACATTAATGTTAGGAGAACATTAATAGCTGGACGAGGCCTTGGGTGATACGGTTTAGTGTGAGGTGTCCCTGCCCATGACAAGGGGGTTGGAACTAGATGATCTTAAGGTCCTTTCCAACCCTAACTATTCTGTGATTCTGTGATTCTATAATATGGGCAAGCACTTTGTAGGATAGGAAGACAACTCCAAGAAGTCCTCCTTTTGCTTCACTGAGCTGTTTTTTGCTTCTCTGCTATTAGCAGTTCTGGAGTGACAACTGTTTGGCTCTTGGTACACTGCAGATCTGAACAGTATGCACTTGTGACATAGTGGTCAGTTCTGTCTGATGACAGTGAGTGCTCACAGAGCTTTTTTAATACTGCTTTTTCAGGAGCACTATAGACGTTTTGACAGTTGTTTTGATTTGGGGTAACGGTGGTTGATGTCGGCTTGGTTATGGAACTGGAGCTAGAGGATAGTAATATACTCACCACTAGCAAAGATATTTCAAATTCCTTCACTGTGCCTATTTGTTGTTTAAATGCATTTTGCTTTTCTGTCTAAAGTAACCTTTTCTCTGGTTTGTCTTTTCTCAGCGGCATCAATAATGTCCTGGATGCAAGATCAATTGGAGTGAAAATTTTTGAAGACTATGCTATTTCTTGGTACTGGATTTTAATGTAAGATTCTAATGGGTATTTTTATGTTTTTCCAAACTCACTTTGGAGTGTGTAGTGAATTGAAAAATAGATCATGCATGTGTTTGTTACCAAACCTAGTTTTAAACTCTGCCATAATGTTGTTATGGTTCTGTACATGAGGTAAGGATAGCACAGCATACATGCATACTGTATGGTCTGGAGTAGCTTTTTAATATCCTACCAGGCAGAAACCCAAGAGGTGCTGTCTTCTGTTGCAGGACCCATCAGTGTGGTAATTCCAAAACTAAAAAATCTTAATTAAGAGTCTTTCAAACCAATTGCAGTTGCTAAATGTCATTAGTATCTATATAAAACACATCCCAATTTCTAAATTGATACTAGCAATATGTAGTTAAATTCATTATAATACATAAATCTGGTATAACTCTACAAATCCAGTGCAGCAGGCAAAGCAACTTAAAGAACAAAAAATACTGAGCAGAGTTAGCTTTATCTTGCAACTATTACTCAATAATCAGCAATTAGTAAAAATGCAACCCCAAAACAAAAGAAGTAGCTATTTTGCTGAAGCAAACACCTAAGTATGTGCATAAATGGCCATTCTCTCTTGATCCCTTACTGAAATCAGGCTTATTGTGCAGATTCTTTCGAAGGAGATACTGCTTGACAGATGGACTGGAAAGAGAATTGACCGTTTTTTGATGAGAGTTTCTCAATGCTGAAGCCAGTTTCCACATCTCAAATAGGATACTTTTATAAGGAGTTGTGGTTACTTTTAAAATAATTGGATAGAATTTTCTTCACACTTTTCACCAAATGACAGCTTTCAAGGCTCAGTTTAAGGGAACCACTTTATTAAGGACAATTGTTACCGTGTATTCGTTCAGTTTTGGTGTTCCTAGAACTCGTGTAAATCTGAAGCTAACCATAGATAAAGGTAACTGCACTGCTTGAAAGAACAGAGTCAGGAACTCCAAAACAACAGCTTTTTTTTTTTTTTTGAGGAATACATTCTGAATTTCAAGCAAGCCATTCAGAAAGGGAAAACACATCGTGCTGAGAAGCCTCTAAAGGGCTAGAACTCAAGACCAGTTTACAAAGGTTTAACTAAATAAGTGGATGTTCTTTTTCTTGTTGCTTTGCCCATCTGCCTTAGTTTGCCCTAAACATCCAGTTTTGATTGTTTGGGGTCAGGCTGGCCCGTTTGTTATCTTTAATCACGGCTAAATAAACTGGGAACATTCAGAAGAGCAGTTCCTGACCACAGGCAAGAAGAGGGTTTCATTTCCTTTGAGTCTGTTCTAATACAAAATTCTGATGTCACACCTTAGAATTCTAGAGATATGAAATGTTCTGTGAAGCGTCTGAGCTGGATCTTTGTTGGATGGAACCATTGTTCACACTGCTTTATTTGCATTGCTTTAGAAGGCCCCCCTGAGTAAAAAGGCCTTTTGCAGTCATTCTGTCCTTTCTGACTTGCTTTCTGGGAGTAAAATGAAAGCAAATATTTCCATACTACAGACTTGATAAAGACACAGGGGTTCCACTGATGGCTCTTAACAGGTTCTTTTTATGCATCACTATGCCCTGATCATTTTCTTCTCTGATGGGTAGAAAGAGTCACCAGTTTTCCTCCTAAAATGAATTTTTTTTTTCTAGGAAAGCTCCTTTAAATGTTACTTTCCTAATATTGTTTCTTTGCAAGCAGGGATTTTAAATGGAGGACATAAACCAGTAACCTCCCCACACACAGGTATTTCTCCAGTTTAACTTTCTGTGCTGTAGACCAGACCATGGCCTGGAAAAGGCAGTGAGTTGATCAGCCAGTGTAAATGACCAAACCAGACCTGTGCTGGTCCCATTCAGACACCCTGAGAACTTAGCGTGCGCAAACGTATCTGGCTGTGTCCTGTGAGACCATCGTACGTAATCTGTCTGTTTCTAACAGCAGAGAACCACGAGGAAATATTTCATAAGGAAGATCTTGAAATACATTTTTAGAAACCATTCGCCTACATGAGATGAAGTGACCCTCATTTGGAATAAGAGGCATGTGAGAAGAGTCTCACACTTGTTTCCCTGTGTTTCTGTTTCTTGTCTTTCTAGTGGGCTGTTCATTGCAATGATTGTGAGTCTGCTCTTCCTTGTGTTATTGAGGTTCACAGCTGGGGTTCTCTTCTGGATTTTCATCTTTGGTGTGATTGGAATTATAGGTTATGGTAGGTGTAATCCTCCACCTTCTGAGGCTATTTATTTTTCCTTATTGCTTAATTTTGGGCAAGGAAAGTAAATGATTACATCAATTAAAGGCTATAGTTGGGAAAACTAGTGCCTGGGTTTAAACACAGTTAAGTGAGAAGGGCTTAAATGGCAGTGAAATTTAGTAAGAAACCAGCTGTGCTGATACTTAGCACCAGATGTAGCAACCTGAACTATCTGATCACAGTGTGCTTAGTCTGCATTCACTTGTACTCATCTTTCTTTTCTATAGATGTGATGTTATAGCTGACTAGTCTGGCAGTAATGCGTGTTTGGGTTTTGCTTATCGGATGTGCTGAGGAGAAAACATTTCACTTGTCAAAGATTTAGAACAATCCCAACCTTGTCTTTGCACTCTTCAGAAACACTCATTTGATATTGTTTTCTAACAGGCATCTGGCATTGTTACTGGGAGTATGACCACCTTAAAGGAATACCTGGATCTGACCTCACTGTGTATGACATTGGATTCCAGACAGACTTCAGAGTGTACCTGCAGCTGAGGCAAACATGGTTAGCGTTTAGTAAGTGCCCTTTAAACTTGGTATCTGTTAATGGATGTTCAGGAGATTCAGTCACTGTTTCACTACAGTTTCTGCTTTGTTAAATCTCATCCTCTACATATGTTGCTCATAGAAGTAAGCAGAGTTCTTTTTCTTTGTATGGTACAAAAATCTACTTTTTCTGCAAGGCTACTAGTGTATTTGTAAGGGACCATAATGCAGTCACAGTAGTGATGAGAGTGAAAAACGCTGGTGTTATTAGCATTCTACTTCCTGTGTGTTCAGCCTTCACAATGGGGAGGCAGAAGGCAATAACTAAGTTTGATGAAGATAAGGATGGGCATTTTTCTCTCTGTGTTTATGCCCCCTCCTTGAAGGCCCCAGAAATGAGATTAATGTCTGTGCATCTTTTGTAGACCTGTTTACATTCAGGTCACTGAATTTTCTTGCAGGCTGACCTGAGTCTGTGGAATGAACCATCACAAATGTCATCACTTCTGGTTTTCAAAAGTGCTTTGCTGCTTTCTCTTACAAGGGCAGCGTATTTAAAACAATCCTACTGCAACAAGACAGCCTGCAGGGTATGCATCCCTCCCAAGGGAAGGAGGGGCACAAAAGAGAGCAAATACCTGTCAAATACTACTTGCACTGCTGTTACTGCTCTATTATCAGGCACACAGGCACTAACTGATGATGAATGGCACATAACCTAAAACACTGGCTCTCCTAATTGGTAGCTAAATTAACAGCAGTAGTTTACTGCTTAAATCTCCTTTCTCTGCTTTGTGTCTTCATGTAACTGTGTTGGATCATTGGGCTCACCAGCGTCTTCTACATATTGTTGAGGCAAAGCTTTTTAGCATGCTGGCTGTAGAGAATATTAGGATTTTGTTAAGTCTTTCCTTGTAACTCCCCTGCCTGATTCTTAGCAGCCAATGTACAGTTTATCCAGAGGTCAGTGTCACTTTCAGATGAGTAAGTTGAGGTACTCAGGAATGAAATTACTTTTCCAAAATCACCCAGCACATCAGTTAAATGTCCCTGAAAAAAACATAGGCCCTCTTAGTCCTAGTCTAGAACTCGTCACGGACTGACATTGCTTTCCTTTTTCACAATGCTTGCGACAAGCTACATTAACTTGACAGAGCTGAACTGGATTGAGACCAGCTTCAAAGGAACCTGCCTATGTATTCCTTCATGGAGAACCATATGAAAAATAGGTGCTGAAATGTGTGTAACAAAAAACATTGTTCTGAAGGAAGTCTGTGGCTCTGAGCACCACAGGGGTCACTTGCCGCATGCAGTTCTGATGGCTAGGGGTGCTGATAGTACTTGGGATTGCAATTGATCATCTCTGACTATCTGGGTCTGGATTCTGAGGCTGTGTCAGATCTGTGGGACCTGAAGCCAATTCCCCTGTCCCTGTGCAAAGCTCCAGACACCCGACAGCTGAGGGGAAACCATCCCTTTGTCTTCCTCTCCCTCCGCAAAACTTCTTGGTTTCAGCTGGAGGAGACAGGGCCTGCTGTGTGTAACCGTGCACCACTGCTGGGCTGGTTTAAATGTTGTCTAACCCTCTGAGGCACCCGGAATGAAGGGATGTGTCTCAGGGTCAGAGGAGGTGTGCTTCAGGCTTTTGGAGGTGCTTCTGGAGGTGGTGTCCAGAGAATTCCTTTACTTCCCATTGCAGCAGTAGGATTTGAACTGACACCAATAGAAATCAGAGAGAAGCCAACTCTTTAAACAAGATCTGGGTTATGAATCAAACACTGCTCACAACTAAGAGAGGAAATGTACCGGGACACGGTGCTCTCAGCTCTCTAACCTTAGAGCAAGTTTGTGTGATAACAGCAGCACAAGTGGAAGGTGAAAATCATTTGTCCAAAACTGTACTGTCTTAGCCTCTTTGTTTTTTTTTGACTCAAATGAGGGGAAAGGAGCTCACGCCAAGCTAATGCTCAGGCAAGTCTATTGATTTAAGTGCATCTACCTGTTATAGGAGAGCGTATCTCAGAAAACTGCACTCTTCAGGAAAAAGTTGACTCTTCATCTCCTTTTTCTTTAGTGTATTGAAATACTACAGATGAGCAGCATTAGAGTATAAACATGCAAAATGCTTGTTATAAAAAGCAGCATTTGTAAAGGGTGAACTGTCAGGGTCCTGCCCATTCTGACAAACTCTGGCCATGTACAATATCTCCCCACAAAGCCATGAAATGGGATTGAAGATTGGCAGCTGCAGTGAGAGAAGCAAAGAGCTGCTCTAGCTGGGAATTCTATAGAGTTCATGCGCAATAGTGCAAAACACAAGGGGAGTTGCGGGGGGGGGGGGGGTGTGTGTGTGAACTACAGAGGCAGCCTATTGGTTCGGTTCTTGATAAATCTAACTTTTGTTTGTTTCCAGTGATAATACTTTGTGGTGTTGAGGTCATAGTCATACTGATGCTGATCTTCCTAAGGAATCGGATCCGGATCGCCATTGCACTCCTGAAGGAAGGCAGTAGGTACGTTTGCCTGAGTTTTGGGAATATATTTTGAATTTTATTAGACAATCTCTGGAGTCTACTCTTCTTGAGCTTCATCTTGCAGTACCAAGGGCAGGAAGTTGAAGTACAACACTGGGTTTGTCCAGCCATACATGTGGTATAAAGAACACCAGTTATTTGTCACTGAGATTGTGCTTATAAGAGCTTTCTCTTTTGCAGTAAGATATTTATCTCCCAGCTCCCTGCCTTAAGTGTACAGACGCTGTTAGTGGCACCATATGTCCTCGGTGCAAGGAGGTGTGTGCCAAATGTGGGACACTGTTAATAGGAGCCTAAGACCTACAGCTGCCAGCTTTACTCTCTTTGGATTGTCTCCAGAGAGACTTATGCTAGTGGTAGAGGTGTTGTTTTGGCTGGGGCTTTTAATTTAGGAATTACTGGATTCTTATGGCTCCAGTCAACCTTTTGTCTGGACATGCATAAATCTGCAGAGAGAAAAGGAGATTTCCATGACTGGACATTGTAATATGGTGTAGTCCAAGGCTCTTCTTTTCAGCTCTGAATACAGAGGAAAGCAGAGCGGGATGTGAGAGTTGAGGGCCTGGGAGGCCTCTTCATTCTGTGTTTCCTGAAATCTGGATAGGCTTTATTCATAGTGGTTACCGGTTTATCCAGTGCCAACTCCTAGTTCTAGTTTGCGTTTGGTTTGGGTTTAATGGGAATATAAGAAAGGAGAAATGGATTAAGCACACCCCTGGATTTCATTGCAAATAGGCTAAGGTCTCATAGGCCTCAGAAGTAGGGCTGTGTTAGAGCACATGGAGTTAGCTCTGAGTTTATCTGTGTGCACTTGCTTGTGGTTTTCTGCGCTCTCTGTTGATGTTATGGTTCTCAGGAGTTGGGGGTTAGGATTTTTGTAGTGGGATTAGGAAATACTGAAGTTCTGCATTCAGCCAGGTACCTGTTTCCTGTCTTCTGCTACTGTGCAGTTAAAGCATAGCAAATAATTTTGGCAACACTGAATTTTCTTCTTTAGTTCCTGTTCATGACAATGCAGGAACGCTTAACTCTCTGCAGCACTTTTGTTCACAGCCTTGACAGGTAGAAGGATTTCAGGAAGTTCATAAACTTCCTGCTGGGAAGTGATAACATTCTGTAGTTTTTCAGTAGCATGGAAAGGTCCCTTGAGGGTGATGGTTTTGCTTTCATGCATAATGCATGAGATGAAGCTCTGTGTACAATTCCTGTAAACTTAACAGCCCATGCCCTGTATTTGGGAAGGTGCAAACCAAGCTGCTAACAACTGGAAATCAAATTTCATTTTTCAATACCTTAACTACTCTTTCAAAAATATTTCAATTGTCTTGAAATCCATAGGGGCAAACAGTTAACAGTCATTACTCTGTCTACGGTGTCAGTGGAATCCAAGAAGCCTCCCATGAGCTGCTGCGCACTGCTAGTGCGTAGTGACTGTTTCTGCTGTGTGCGTCTACTGGACTTCTGCATCTCTAGACTCAGACAGAAATCGATGTGTTGCTCTTCAGCTCCTGATTGTACACGAGGGTTCCCTCGCGCTCTCCCAGCATTTACTAGTTTAGCAGCAGGAATTGGGTAACTTTGTCTGCTTTTACATTTTGGAAACTGCCTCCTGCCAAACACATAGTGTCAGAAATGCCACAAGTCAATCCTGCAGGAAATACTAAGAGACAGAAAGGCTTGTGGTAAGCTTACAGAGTCACTGGAGAGACAATTTAGAGTAACAGAAGAGGTAGGTGGCCAGAATGCGAAGAGAACCAACCTGTAAGCTTGAGTGAACAAGCCCCTGCTCTCTGCAATCCCATCCCATGAGATAACCCAGATGGAGGCGCTCCCCTCTGAGGGCGCTGTGGCTGGTTTACCCAGCGGGGCTGTATCTGTTCACTTGCTTACAGAGAGGAGTCCCTGGGGGTGTAGGAGCCAACACGCTCCAGTTCCTGCTCAGTAGTTGCATTCTAACAAGAATTAGCAGAATGTCAGCCTCTAGAACATCAGCCTTGATGTTAAAAGGAGCTCTCTAAGCTGCCAACAGTGAAAAGCCATTCTTCTTTCTGCTTGCCAACAGTCAAAGACGAAGCACCATTCATTTAGGGCATGTGCAAGGAAAGTCATATAGTCACAGGAAGGTGTTAGCATGTCCTGGCATTACAAAGACAAACTGAATGTCATGCCCCAAAATAGTCAGTACTTAAGGCAGGAAAGGGGCTGGGAACAGAGTCCTCAAATGCAAAGTAGCAAGAGGTAATTTCAGGTGCGTAGTAGCCGAGGGAGGAGCATATGAACTGAGCAGGGTGGGACAAGGAAATAAAGGGTCATTACTGCAGCAAGAAGATGTGATTGAAATGGGTTTGTGGCGTGGAAAGAGCTGGATCTGTGAAGCAGTAATGGAGAAGGAGGAAGTAGAAGACAGGCTGGAACATGATTGATAATGTTGATTGTAGTGCTGCTGATAAAAGTGGAGTGGTAGAAATGGCAAAGTGAAGATGTAAAGACATTGAAGAAAGAGCCTGCAGTATTCTGAGATCCCAGCTCTAGTAGCTCAGAGTAAAAAGGATGATGCTAGAAGAGGCCTGATAAAAAGCTTGTTTCTTAAATTGCTGCAGCTATCTGACATGTTTTGTTTCTTTCACAGGGCTATTGGCTACATAATGTCTACGTTGTTCTATCCAATCGTCACCTTCACACTCATTGCAATTTGTATTTCCTACTGGGCTGTGACAGCTGTGTATCCTTCTATCTGTGCTCCTCTCTGGAGGAACTGTCTTCTGGTCTACAAGTCCAGATAATTCTCTGCTATTTCACCTTGGCCAAACCAGCGTTAAAAGGGCTATTTGGTCACTTGGCACTTGCTGAACCGGTGCACTCTTCCTCACTGGGCATTTGCGTGTGATTTACCAACTGGATAGTGAATTTAATTTCATTAAAAAGAACTGGACTAAACCCGTGCCAAAGCAGAGGATCATACAAGCTCTTTTATACTACATAAGGTTGGTTTCAAGGGGTGAAAAAGGAACCTCAGCAAAGAGTGACTATGCCCTTTCTTGGCTGTATGCTCTATAGACCTGATGTTAATGGTCGCTTAGTTAGCTTGGATGAGCTCCATGTGTGTTTTGTACAGAAAAATGTGGGAAAGGAGTGAGAGAACACAGAGCACCCCATGTCCTCTAAATTGCCTGACAGCAGCCACTGTCTGTTCCTGGAAAGGCAAGGCTTTGGTAAAGTGTCAGAAAGGGGACAGTTGCTTTCTGGAAACAAATTGTTCTTTCTCATGCAAAGAGGGTCAGTTACTGCTGTACAGGACAGTGTTGATTTATCCTTATGCTCTGTGTCTACTGCCACCAAAATCCAATCTCTCAAAGAGCTGCATAATGTGCCTTGTCAGAGGTGGGTGTGCAGGAGAGACTGGGTCAGCTTTCAAGGTTATTCCCCTTGCTCGCTCTGGCCATGGCAGACAGCTCTGGGATGAAGTCTGCCTTAGTTCTGTAAGTAATGAAAGTATTTAGTTTTTTCTGTGTCCCTTCATGCACATCTCTGCATAGCAAAAGTGGTTTTTCTGTGACCGGCACAAGTGTTTTAGAGCTCATGGTTACCCCCTGCAGACTCCTGAGTTGCTCAAAGCCCACAGTTCTGTGATTCCTCCTTAAAATACCTCATTCAGTTTTCTGGCTACATCAGGAGAACCTGTGTATAAAGTAATGGCTAATCAAACACTGTGCAAGTATGCAAACCTGACTTGTGACCCAGAGGTAGGTGTTACAAATACTTACCTGTAGTGAGAGCTATCCTAATTGTATTTCTTAATCGCTATTAAATGCAGTGTGAGAAAATGTACCTATCTTAATTAATGATTCTTTGTGCTAAATCTGAAAATAGTGCTTTGTGTTCAGCTAATACTCCTTTGTTCAAGCAATTTAGAGATATAAAGCAGTTTCTTTGCTGAAGTGTGCTGTGAGCATCAATCAGTCTCATTTACTGGGCGTGAAAGGAAGATGCAGAAATACAGGTTTATTTGGAAAAGTGTTCCTGAATTCATGAGGATTTCTATTTTTGTGGAAGAATTTGAAAGCTGTGCCTCAGACTTGCCCAGCCAGGTTTCAAAGCAGAGGTTTGGCTGCTTTTGGCACAGTGATGACCATTATGAAGCTCCAAAAACACTTGTCTTTTGACTTGAGTGTGGAGTTGAATTGAAGTGTTTCTTGAAAACTAGAAATATTTATCAAATGTTCTGTCAGGGTTATTTTCAGGTATTTAAATGTCAATGTACTGCTGTGCTTAGGTACATCCCAGACAATTCCCCACCATCCTGATACCAAACATTAAAAAAGAAAGGGAATAGGAATTGTCTGGTTCTGTTTAACACCCAAACTGAGCAAATACATGAATTGAACAACAGAACTAGGGAAGAGTAATCTGCTGTAAAGACTACTCCTGTTTTAATACCATGAGATAAGTAAGAGTATGCTTACCTATGTCATACCTTACAGAAGGTAAGCTCTGGCACTTCCGCAGCTTGTACAGAATGGCACAGCTCAGTTGATTTCAGTTCAGTCGTGGTGATTTACACAAGTGCCAGATTTGGTGTCTGGTTTTCAAATATTCTTTTTTCCTTGCTGTTACTTTTTATATGAGCAGCTTTTCTTTAATGAAACTGAAGCGTTTGTGTATCTTTAAAGTATATTTCTGACATTCAAATTCCATATCTCTAGGTTTCAGGGTTAGGGTAAACAGCTCTGTTTGCCAACTGTATAGTTTAAACACCTGCATAAGACATTAATATAAATCCTTATGTATGTAAACAGGTTGCATAGTACTGCAGTGTAGTGTTTAATGATCTGATGAGACATCAAGCAGAATGATGTGATTTGTATGGAGCTGCTAAATTTCAGAGCCTGTGAACACAGAATTCAGTGCTTATCACTGTGTTGTTTATTTTTCTTCCTGTACAGACTTTTAACACAACCAATGTCACTAAACTGTGTCCAGGTGCTCAGTGTACTTTTGCTTTTTATGGAGGAGAAAGCCTGTACCATAAGTACATCTTCATCTTCCAGTTAGCCAATGCCTTTGTCTTTCTCTGGCTGGTGAACTTTGCAATTGCATTGGGTCAGTGTACCCTTGCTGGTGCCTTTGCCTCCTATTACTGGGCCTCTCGAAAACCAGCTGATATTCCACTATGGCCACTCTTCTCTTCATTCGGACGAGCAATACGGTAAGACTGTGGGGCTGGATGTGAGCCCTCTCACATATTGAGCAAGTGCACGTTTTACATGTAGGAAAGCCAGACTTGGAACATCAAAGGAAAATGATGAGTCAGCACTGTGCTTTCCTCTCAGTGGGCAGCCACGTGCCACCTAACCGCTCACTCCCTCCACACAGTGAGACAGGGGAGAGAATCAGAAAGGTGAGAGTGTGAGAATACATGGGCTGAGATACGGAGCATTCAGTAGGTAAAGCAGAGCTGTGTGCACAAGCAAAGCACAATGTGGAATCCATTCACCACTTTGCACTGGCAGGCAGGTGTTCAGCCATCCCCAGGGCAGCACGGCTCCAACACGTGTTCCAGTGACTTGGAGGACAAGCACCATCACTCCAAATGTGTGGCCCCCCCCACGCTTCCTTCTTCTTCCCCCAGCTGTTACTGTTGAGCATGCCATATGGTGTGGGATATCCCTTTGGTCAGCTGGGGTCAGCTGTCCTGACTGTGTCATAGAATCATGTAGAATCGCAGAATCATGGAACGGTTTGGGTTGGAAGGGACCTTAAAGCTCATCCAGCTCCACCCCCTGCCACAGGCAGGGACACCTTCCACTAGAGCAGCTTGCTCCAAGATGGCCTGGGGACACCGCCAGGGATGGGACATAGCAGGGGTGAGTTTGGCCCCTCCAAACTCCTCATGCACCCCCAGTGCACTTGCTGGGGTGAGGAGCAGGAAAGGCCTTGATACTGTGTAAGCGCTGCTCAACAGTGGCTAAAGCATCCCTTTGTTATCGACACTTGTTTTCATCACAAGTCCATAGTGTTGTACAAGCTACTGTGAAGAAATCTAACTCTCTTCCATCCAAACCCAGTCCAGTCAGGAAAATGTAGTTGTTAGGGGGAAGCTGAATCCTGTAGCCCAACAGCAGCAAGGCTGCTGCAGCTCCAGCCGAGTAGAAGGCTGAGCAGGTATTCCCAGTAGGCACACACACCCAAATACAAGTATGCAACACATGTATACACAGCTGGTCACACAGACAGACACAGCACTCAAACACCAAAAACACCTATGGCTTCATCCTGTTCCTCTCTCTTGTGGATCAGGGTAATTGTCCATTAGTATGTGTAATTCCCACTAATGGGCCTTCCTCCAGTTATAATTTTATTTCTACGTATACACATACACGCACATACACGTATAACTGTAAATATGTACATATGTGCAATGTAACAGTCATTTATTTTGTTTTAGATACCATACAGGTTCGCTGGCATTTGGAGCCTTAATTCTTGCAATTGTCCAGCTTATTCGAGTAATACTGGAGTACTTGGATCACAAACTGAAAGGTGAGATTTATGAATCTAGCCTAGCTTATCAAGGCCTCCTCTGGTAAATCCCTTCCTTCCTCTCCCAAGATGTTTTTCGTTAATGAAAAGAGAGCTTTAGCTGTTGTAGTTGCATTTGAAGCCAGTGAATATATGCTGATTTACTCAAATTGAGGCTGTGTCCTTGGGAACCTAATGCAAAGTTTGCATGGGGGATGTGGATCTGCTCTAATTGAAAGCTACTGAGTTAAATTTGGTCGAGAAAGAGAGTCCGTACCTAGAAGAAAAGAAGTAATGTTTCTGCTTTTGTCATAATGTAAGATTTTCTTACGAATACCTTTCCATGTTCTGAGAAAGACACTTCAGGAGCTCTGTGTATGAAGTACTCTCCTCTTTTCCAGGTACACAGAACTCCTTCACTAGATTCCTACTCTGCTGCCTCAAATGCTGTTTCTGGTGTTTGGAAAAATTCTTAAAATTTATAAACAGAAATGCCTACATCATGGTATGTGCTGTCTCTGCAGGTGGTCTCCCTGTCTGGGGCACTAAAATACCCTAGCCACTCCTAATGGCTCAGCAGCCAGCGGTACTAGAATCTGCTGGAAAAGTAATGGGATTTATATGAGTTGTCAGGAATGCATGTGGTCCTACCATGGAAAAGATTTTTTGTTTTCCCTGAGTCTAAACTCAGCTTCTTTCGGTGCGTGTCCTCGTCCATCACCCTCACCCCCAAAGTAAGTGGGAGGAGATGGCATATAACTGGTTAACTGAGTCAGCAATTGAAATCCTGATTTGAACAGGAATATGAGCTCATTTCATATGGCATGTTGATGACACTTCTGTTTGGAGGCAGTGTTTGTATAAGGCATGTGGTATCTGTACTTCCTCCTGGAAGTTAAAAGCACAAATTCTACCAGCAGCAGTAGTGCTATTTCTCTAAAATAACCATTCTTAGCTTCCAGAAGAGAACTTCCAGATTTTCATCTAAATAAATACACACAGATGTCAGCCTAGGATGCTCTGACTGGAAGCAATTTCATTGTTTGAATGCTACAGTCCCGGCTTGTTATCTCAAAAGAGATGGCTGGAATGGGTCCATTATAACCCATGTTCATGCAATTGGTGTTAGAAATTAATGCCATCTGGAAGAGGAAGTATTCTTGTTGACTATCTTGTTTACAGTTGATGAACTGAATGCACTGAGAGCTGTTCTAGTATATCCCACCCTGGCAGATGCTATTCCAGGAAGAAGAAAAGGTTGTGTTCCTGAATAGCTTTAGCTGCTTTACTTTATGCTGATGTAAATCCACTTTGATACTGGTATTTCTGATTCTTATTAAGTGAGAGCAGCGTCAGGCCCAAGGAGAGACCTACAGGGGTCGACTCACTTCTGCTCTACAAGTGCCTGTTCTTTCCACTGACTATAATCTAGTGCAGGTAGCAAGCAATGTGAGAATCCCTCAGCAAGTACCTTATTTGCTCGACTTGGCAAACTCAGTACTGTGTCTCCTGCCTGCCAGATCGCTGGGGTAGCCCACTCATCACGAGGTCATTTGAAGGGGAAAGATGGATAATACTGTGTCCCAACCTGGTGGGAACATTGAGAGGTAGTGGGTGACCGGGGGAAGTGCTTTATGTTCACCTGCATCCCAGTGCATGTACCAGAACCGTGCTTTGGAAGATGCTGGCACACGAGGGGGGATCCTCATTATTTGAATACTGAACAGCTGCCGCTTTTTGCAGATTGCCATCTACGGTAAAAACTTCTGCACCTCGGCGAAGGAAGCGTTCTTTCTGCTCATGCGGAATGTGGTGAGGTAAGGGGCCACCCTCCAGGACTTGGAATGTCAGGATTTCCTGCTGTCACGCTCTGAAGACAGACTTCTGTCCTCTCCCATTATTGGAAGATGATTCTGTCCTCAGACATGGCCAGCAGGCTCTCCAGCACAGCAACCTGTGCAAAGCTGATGGAAACCAACAGTTTTGTTGTGATTTGCTCTTTCAAATTCATAAGCATCCAGTATAGATTCCTCCAAGGAACCAATGGAGCCCTTGATAGGAGACCTGCAGATATACAGGAATGGTGTGCTCATCATCTGCCATATGTGTGTTTCTTGAGCTTTGGCCCACTCACTGTCTGTGAAAAAGGAAAGCAGAATCTTCAGAGTGAACCAGAAAGCTTATGGGGTGTCAGGGAGTGGAAGAAAAGAAGAGAGTACTTTGCTTTCCAGACCAGTATCTGTAACATACCCACATATCCCTTAGTGCTGGGAACTCCCCTGGCCCTTTTCCCTACTGTGAAGACTGCTGCCAAGCTCCCTGTTCTCATCAGTACTTTTCCTCATCGCTCCCGGCTCTTCCTGTACTACTGTGAGATCAGAAAATAGTGGAAGAATAACTTAGGGGCAGGTCATGTTGATACAATAGCAGGCAGCCTGATTGCCAGGCAAGAGACACAATAAAACTGGTTAGGTGATTCAAATTAAGTGAAGGACTGGGAGGTGGAGATGAATGGAGAGGGAGGCTGAAATAGGAAAATGAAAATGATGCTTAAGAAACTAGAGTGAAGAATTGGAGATGGGAGAATGGAGTGCATTCACTCCATTACCCCACAGTAATAGTGGCACGGGGTGCCCACGCTTGTGCAGTAGGGCAGAGAAGCTGCCTTCATGTGCTTTCCTAGCATCACCTCACTCCCGTTCCTTCATGTGCTTTCCTAACATCACCTCACTCCCGTTTGTGGTTTTGCTCTTAATCATTAAAGCAATAGCTAAAAGCCAGGCATGTACTTTTCATTGTTTCAATCTGAGGTGTTTTTGTCTTGTGTATATTGCTAATTCTGAATTCTGACAGGTTAATGATGATTTAATCTCTTTAATATTCCTTAATGTTCATCTTTCATGGTAGTCAGTGCTGTGCATTACCATATCCATAGCCTTCAGGCTGATGACACAAAGCTCATTTTCCATCCCATTATTTACCTGCAGTTTCTGGTAAGACAGGCTTGAAGTATTTCGAGCAGGAACTCCCTGCTGTTGCTTTCAGTGAGGGCTGCAGATTTACTGTCAGTTCTGCTGTCTACCTTAATTCATCTTTGTGCTTTGAGGCCTCCTGCCTTCAGTGTTGTACCATATCTTAAAATAGTGGATTTGGCATGGTATGGGGTTGTGAAATGTGGCCAGATGGGACAAAGTAAGAAGAAGACCTACAAGCATTGCTCTCTTTTTTCGGTGTGTATTTTGCCTCTTCTAGCCTGGTTTATCTGTGACCCTAGAAGAAAGGCTGAAATAAACATAATTTGATGTTTTGTTTTGTTTTTTAACCATCAAGAGCAGTGAATGGTCTTCAACTGCAGAATCAGTATTGCTGTATTAACTCACCAAGAGGCTCAGTGCTGCTTTGCTTCCTAGGATCAGGCTGTGACAAAGCCCATCTCAGTGTTGCATTTCTGCATGGTTGTATTGTCAGCCCATGAAACCAGCAGAAGGCACCTTCTTGGTCATGTTTGTCAATTATCTGTAGATAAACTATAGATTTAAGGAGAAATAATACAAGTGTCTGGATGGTGATTGTGGGTCATTTGTTCTTTGCTGACAGAGTTGCAGTTCTGGACAAAGTTACAGACTTCCTTTTATTCCTGGGGAAAATCCTCGTTGCTGGTGGTGTAGGTAAGCTAATGGTTTCTTTCCAACATTCTGTGTTCTGGTACCTACAAGCACACCATGTTCATATGTGCTTAGTTAACAGCTGGAGGTTCTCATGGGTCTTACCATTTGGGAAGCTTTCCGATGTTTGTGGGGTTTACAGGATTGAACTAAAATGATTCTTTTCTTTTTCCCCCCTCTCCCTCTGCCCCGTGTGCTGTTGGGAGCATCTTTTCCATAACTGGAGGAAGTGGGGCAGGTCTGCAGGAGATGGGCCTGAAGCTCTTCTGTATTCAAACTCATTATAGAATCATAGAATAGTTAGGGTTGGAAGGGACCTTAAGATCATCCAGTTCCAACCCTCCTGCCATGAGCAGGAACACCTCACACTAAACCTTTATAGCTGTAAGCTATAAAGGGATGTCTTAATTATCAGTAAATATAAAAATATGTTATTCATGCTTTTCTGCAACAGAAAAGTGATTTTATTTCTTAAATGGAACACTCTCAGAAATGGGGTTGACATGTTCCCTCACTGCGTTTGCAACTGCCACAGCTGCTTCAGTCATTAGTTTACAAATAACCACATTTTGTATTCTGTATACTAAAAAAGAAAAAATACTAACAAAGTCTGTTTTAATCAAAACCTGAAAATTAGTCCAAAGAGCAGGTCTAAGCTACTTTGTCATTGCTCTAGCCTGACTTTCAGCTGGGGTAGCAAATTTGATTTGAAACATGTTCTCCAAAATGTAAGCCATGGGATAGTGAAATTAATTAGTGCCTTTGTCGTCTTCAAGAATAAACTCTTTGGGTGGTCTCTGTTACAGGTACATTGGTCTGTTCTAAACCTCTCGTGCTTATCACTAACACTGCTGTTTCCCCATTTAATCTGAAGTAGCTCAGTATTTCTTCAAGCAGTAAAAGTTAAAGCAGCCAATTTTTCCTCAGTCTTTTTTATTTTACAAAAGATCCACCCATTGGCCCTTGTTATCCCATGTCATCGTCTTGTTTATCATCATGTATTAATTATGCTATTAAATCCAGTAGAATGATAAAACAATTCATTAAAATCTCTCTGGGCCCATGAATATCTTTATGGTAATTGATTCATTTACATATCTCTTCTGTCAGAATGCAGATCCAGGAGATAATTGGTGTTGAGGAATTTACTGGTTGCAAGCTCGTATTTAAACCCACCTTGGTTCTGGTGTCTGTTTGTTTTATCTCATCCACTCTTTAGGCTTAGGAAATCAGAGTCAGTACAGGAATCAGTGATCTTTTCTGCTTCTTGCAGGTGTTCTTGCGTTCTTTTTCTTCACTCAGAAGATACCAGTCATTGCACAGGAAGCACCAGCGTTAAATTACTACTGGGTACCATTGTTGGTAAGGAAACTACCTACTCTCCCTGACCATTGAGAACAATTTGAAGTGTCCAGACTACTCGGGGAATAGTCTCGTAGTAGCTCCTGTTGTCACCCTCTCAGTGGCATGCTGTCCACTGAGGTGAGGATTGAGCTGCAAAGGCTGGTGGTGAGGCACCAATGTCAGTGTGACTTCTAGTGGAAGGGACTTGTGATGCATCTCTTTCTCCTTTTGTAGCCACACTAGGCTCTGGGCCATCTCCAGGATGAGGGTTCTTTAGAATAAACTTGCAGGAGTTCAGAATATCCTTGGCATATATTCTCTTTGGGGATAGAAATGGCTGCAGTTTGGCAGCTGGAAAGCCAGCAGCTACTGCATGTTAGAATATAGTGTCTTGAGTCTGTGATCCCTTTCTGCAGAAGTAGTGACCTTTGGTAGAATTACAGAGGTGCCATTAAATCTTCCTAAATATGCTTAGCAGACTAGGCTTCTGACTTGTGTTACCACTGCCACACTGATGCTAAACTGAATTTGAGGGTTTATTGTGTTGGGTTTTTTTGTAGACAGTCATTATTGGCTCCTACCTAGTTGCACACGGGTTCTTCAGCGTCTATGCAATGTGTGTTGACACGCTTTTCCTCTGCTTTTGTAAGTACCATGGTTTCTTTCACTAATACCTGCAGGTGACAGGAAGAGTAGAAAACCACCTTATCCATTCCTTACAGAATTCTGGTGACATGCTATCAGACTGTGAAAAACAAACTGCTTTTCAGACTGGCTCCTTGATGTGCAGAAGTGTTTCAGTGTTCAGTTTTAATTAGTTTAAGTAATGGAAGGTAGCTGTCTGGCTCTTGGGGATATCTGGCTTTTGTTTTTCAGTCGTTCCTTAACTTTCATTAACGGGTTTTTTCTGGGTGCTTTGTAAAGAGCCCTGTACAGAAATGATTTACTTAAACCTTTTGTCAATAACAAAGTTATTCTTTGGTATACATGTTTATAGAATCATAGAATAGTTAGGGTATATATGTTTCTTTTAACTTAACAGCCCTGAACAAAGTATTATGCTAAAATGTCTTCAAATTTGTGTAAAATACCATTTAACAAACTATCTGTCCCTTGGACCCACCAGTGGCAAGCCATCTTGGGCACTCTCAGAGGGACTGCTGCTGTTCAGTGTGTCCAGTCAGAGAATACTGAAGTCACAAAAAAAATCTGTCTCAGATTAGGACGTGACTATAAGAAGAGGATGTACTTATTCCAAAATACATTCAGTTTCCTAGATTTATAGAATTAAAGAAACAAAGTATAATTTTCCTATAATCAAAGTCATTCTGGTTGAAGTTGCATGGTAGTGATTGCTCTTGCAACTGGTGAATTACTTGATAATGCTAAGGTGATACTGATCCCCTTAGCATTAGTCATAGGCTTGACTATAGTCATAGGCTTAATCTAGCACATGCATAGTGGATCACTGAGGCACGGTAAACATAGTAATACTGATCCTCCTTTTACAATGGCATAAAGTCTTTCTTTCCTTTAAACACTCACCTTCCTAACCTTGCTTCCCAAGGAACTAAGGTTAGCAGTGATTCTGGAAATACTGGGTGACCAAAGAATCACAGGAACAAAATGAGTCAGAAAACGGAATGTTAATGTCTAGTTGAGAGCTATTTATCTTACGGACTTTGGTTCTAAACAAACATAATCACAGGCAGACATAGGACTAATAACACTCCATAAGTAAGTTACTACTGTTATTTAGAGTGAAATGGAAATGGATCAAACTAATTAAATGTATTTTTTGGTGCACTCAAATATTAGGAGGTTTTTTTTTAATTCATTCCAGAGCCGCAGGGTATATACTGCCTTGGAGATACCTGAAGATTTGCTTCCTCTAACGTCTTTGCCCAGCCCTTATATGTAGTGCTCTCTCTCTGGCCCCAGCAGGGTTGCACTTGCAATGACTGTGCTTCCCTGCACACTCCCTCCAGATTGCTCATCAGTGTGAAATAGTTCACTGGTCTGTGACTACTGCGTGGCACAATCACTGGGCTGAACCCAGTTTAGTCATGGCCTTCTTCCTTTCCCTGGGGGAAGAAAAGCAGTATGTCTGCCTCATTATTTAAAATTCATATTCTGGTTTGCTTCCCGTGCAGTAATTCAGTAATGGTAGCCAGAGATCATATAGAATTTTGTGCACTTGTGGCATCAGGTTTTCAGAAGAACTTTATCTTAGGTAGTGAGAAAGGGTCCAGTTTTAAGAAGTGCTTAGATCCTCAGCTCTCGCTGGGGCAAAATTTTAAGCCAGAAATGCCAGGCTTCTGTGGAAGCATGAATGTTTCAGAGAATTCCCACCTATACTGCCAAACCAAAGACTGAGGAATAAACTGCATATATTGCTGTCATTTAAAAATGGCTAGATGCTTGCATCTCTGCTTTGTGTAAAACCTCTTCTGGTTTGAGCAAATAGAAATTTGGTAGTGTCCTTTGTCAACAGTACAGCTGAACTGCCTTGACTGAGACTGGTTTTAATATTGGGTCTTCTTCTGCTCTCTCTTTTCTTCAATTCTGGATGTGTGTGTGGTTGAACTGCTGTCTGCTCTTCTGGCTGCTTTTGCTGTGTAAATTCAGGTGAAGACCTGGAAAGAAATGATGGATCTACAGCAAAGCCCTACTTCATGTCAGCTAGCCTTCACCGAATTCTAGGGAAGAAGGAGCTAAGCCCTAAGAAGGCAGCGGGATAACATACACTAAACTGCAACATCAAAACAGTGTCACTTTTAAGCAAAACTTGTATAAAGTAGGCAAAAGTAAAAACTGTAAATGATGCTTCTGGTTAATGGGTGATTCTTTTTTCCTTTTGCTTATATCTAAAAAAAATGAGCAACATTGGTAACATTTAACTAGTTTAAGTGCTTAAACTAACATCTGTGAAAACAGGCCGCGTTTTAGTTTATAGAGTGCCTATGAGAAGGAAAATGTAAATTTCAAGCTTTTTTAAGTCTATAATGATGTTTTAATAACTTTTGTAACACAAGTTGCTGCCTTAGATGACAGCAGTTTTGATAATGTTTCTTTTTGTAAGTGTATATTTGTAAGAGAAATTCAGGCAATTTTTTGAAAGCACTAACATAACCTAATCAGCCATAAAAGATTGTTTGAGACTCTCTAGTTACCCAGGAGATGGTACTAAATTTGTAAATATGGTGCTATGATTGTATTTTTTTGTACAAGCTGGTTCACAGCTATTTAAACTGTGATTATACATGCATTAATGATTCCCTACACTGAAAAATGTAGTGATATTTTAATCACATCCACATCTGCGTCTTTTATGAAATGATGGTACCCTGCAGGTCCCAAAGAAGGTGGTCAGAGGAGACTATACCTGGTCCTGCTTAAAGTGAGGTTTTCTGTGAGTTGTGCTTGAAAGACGATTTAATCAAGAGAAGGTCCCACTGCACTCGATTTGTGGTTTCACAAAAGAAGTTTCATCTGGTACAAGATGGTGAATGTATCGTTTTTAGCTGATGCGTGAGAGAGATGCACTTAATATCCCCCTATCTCTGATTGTTCTGTGTTATGAGGAGCTGAGTTGCACTGAAAGGAAAACCAAATGCAGTCTTTTTTAACTTGGAGGAAAGCCTTGGCTGCAGTTGTGAAAGGAATTCTGTTGCCATTGCCTAGCTCAGAAGGGCTCCTTAATAAGACATTGCAGTGACCGTGCGTGTCCTGAGGGCCAGGCCTGCTCCTTCAGCAGGTCTCCGGGCTCTCAGGTGCTCACACAGAAATGTGTTAAAACATTGAACTCAATTATTCTCATGATGCAGCATGAATTACTTAGATACTGAAACGTGCTCTAAAAGATTTAGTTTGCTTTTTGATTATTAAATTTGCCCGGTCATTAGAACAATATCCAGTGGTAGAAAGCACATTAATATTCTGTTCCATTTAATGACCCTCCCATTAGTAGAAGTGTCACTGAGGTTAGTAGCAGCTCTGCTCATGGAAGAAGTCTTACACTGGAGTGCTTCTCAAGTCCTTTATTGCCATGAGCTGAGCTGAAAAGGTTTTCATTTATTGGTCTCATGGGTGCCCAAGGACCCAGCCACACTGATCCTGACCCTAGTTTTCATGGATTCCACCACAGTGGGTAAGATATTCCATTACTGTCTGCTTGCAGCAGTGGCATGTGCCATGCCTCTGCCAGACCTCTTACAGAAGTTCAACACTTGACATACTTTCCTAGCCCCAGGAGTCAGTTGGTCTCACAAAGGGAAAGGCAAATTCTTTTCCAGATGATTTGAATGCAAATTTCTGGGGAAAATTTCCTGACAATCCACATCCCAAAGTGATTTTGCTCTCTAACAACTCATGGCTCCAGTTCATGATAACTGTAAGCACTAGAAGCAGAAATACTGCTGATGTGGCCGGTGTGGGGTCCTGCTGATGCATGGTGAGTACCACCCCTGTGCTGCTGGCACGTGCACAGCAGGGTCTCAAAACCTGGTGAGCTGATGCACAAGCACAGGGTACTCACATGCATTCCCTGTGATTGGGTTGGCACTGCAGCACTTTCCCTGGAGCAGAAATGAGGGGTCTGGTTTAGGACTCAAGTAATGTAAAGGTGTACAGTTTCAAATGGAACTGCTGGTTGTGGGCACCTTCAGATTTTGAGAACCCCTCTTAGCCTAGAGTAAACCTGACTTTTGGAAAGGGCTGAGGAACCTGCCTTCAGAAAAACACAGGCTTCCAACTACGAAGTTTTGCATCATCATCATTCCCTTCTCCTTATGTGCATGGTGTTGAATATCCAACCCCCCCCCCCCCATTCTAATCTCTTCTGAGAATGCAGTCAGTAGCTTTCTGGGGTCTGTGTCACCATTCTGTGATCGAAGGAGCGGCTGGTGTGATCACAGCCTGTCTGCTCAACCTTTCTTTTGAATTTTATTTTTTCCATAGTGCTGAGTGGTTAGTTTGCATTAAGGAATCTATATTTCTATTGGACCTGAGTGTCTTACTGGGAGCTCAGCTGAAAAAGCGTGTTTCTGAACACAGTGTGGTTTTTTATCATATGAATGTAACCATAGGGTTTATTAGGAATAAACCATAATAGACATAGTAGACAGTCATTTGACTAGAAGACTTTTGTAACAAGCCTATGCATTTACTAAAAGAATTTCTAAAAGTGAAAGTTTTAAATTGTATTATTATTTATATACAGTAAATATATATGTATAAATTTGCTTCACTCACTATTTTGTGAAATCATTTAGAATGTGATCATCATTTCTGAGAAAACTTAAAAGCCATTTTCTTAATGATATAATTATGAGAACTGTGACAATATAAAGCAATACCACGTAGATTTTGTAATCACTAGATTCAGTAAATAAATCAGAATGATTTAATACTAAGATTGGCTTTAAAAAATAAATTGCTGTTAATGAATTAAGTAGAAATTAATGCAAGTAATTACATGGGAAAGAATAACATAAAATATTTTAAGACTAACTTATTATAATGGTTCCTAGCTCATCCTGTGTGCCAGAGTCTGCAGCCTTGCACCGCAGAGGAGGTCCTAGTGGTGACATTCATGGATCTGGACATGTCCTTTGTTGCTTTATTTAGTGTAAAATTGAAAATTCCATCCCTCACTTCAGAGAGTGGAATCTGTAGTAGCTGTGTCTGTAACACGGTGAATTATGTCCTGTGTGCTTTGCTCTGAGCCCATGGGAGTTGGTGACAATGTGCCCACCCATCCCATGAGGCACAGCCCCGTGGCACACGTGGCAGATGTGACACATGTGACAGACGTGGCACGCGCTGGTGGGCGTTTGGTGCTGACAGTGCAAGAGAGGAGGTGATGCTGGGACCAAATATGTGGCAGAATCCCATTGTGCTGCTGCTGGCAAAGGGCTTGGCAGGTTCTGATCCTTCCCGGCCCCAGAAGCTTTGGGAAGGCAGAAAGCCCCATTTATGGACCCCATGAGCAAGCAGAACATAGAAACCAAGAGACAGTAGAAAGCACCTGCTATCACATCCCCGTAGTCATGTTTGGTTTAGTTCTGGTTGGGTTCATTGTGCCTCCCTAGGGTATATTAATGGATGGCTTTCATTTACACGTTTTATACCAAAGGTTTAATATCAAGCCTTCAAATTTTGTAAAAAAGGGGAAAAAACAGAAAAAAAAAAAGTAACCCCAGAAACAAAACAAAGAAATGAGAAAGATGACATCGTTTCTTATGCTGAGGTGTTTTTTAACAAGTGGTATGCAGCAGCAGATTCTCGGGTGTCCCAAGGATGCTGAATGGTCTCTTGGACGCTACTGTTTAGAAGGATGAGATACTGTAAAGTTGCATGTTCTGCTGTAGAACAGAAAACAGATTTTGGCAGGTGCAGTGTCAGGCTGGTTCTGGACAGTCAGTAAGTGTTCTTCTGCAAACGGTTGTCAGAGGAGATGGGGAAGAACAGCCTGGCTCTCCTGGGTGACGTGTAATGTCTGTCAGTCTCCTTTGGGTCTCTTGCTCAGCCTGGACAGCTGTGTCGTCTCAAAGTGCCTTACAGGCTGTTACTTCACCTGCCTTCTATTCCGAAGTTTATTCGCACCAAGTAGACTACAGAACAGGAAAGGATTGGTAGGGAAAGGCGTGCTCTCCTTATTTCCAATTAACTGATACGCAGTGAGCTATGGGAGAGCTGTTGGTTGTGCCTGGCTGCGGGATGCAGCTCCCGCAGTGTGGTGAAGACACGGACTGTGTGGTCCAGGAGGAAACCCGTCATGGCCATGGTCAAATAATCCAATGAAACCAATGCAAGGTGTTCTGTTTTCAGTAGTACAGTCGTTTATAGCTTTAATTTATGCCATGGTGAACTCCTGAGCTGGGACCAGCGGTTCTGCTTTGAATTCCAGCGCCCATACCATTGTACCTGTTGCTGCGGGGAGAGCTGGGCTCGAGTACTGAGAGCAGGAGGGGAGAAGCCGGTGCATCATCCATCCTCCACATTGCGCCTGACCATTTTCTATTCTAGAAATGTTTATAAATTATGCTAAATTTTTAAACTTTTGATACAGGTGATGATTTTGAGGTGATGTTAATTTGTACTGCGCTGTGATCCAATTGAAAAGAGAACTGTTTATTCATGTTCCAGTAACACTGGTGCTACTGATACTGTCTGTTACTCTGCTGCAGAGCATCCACATGTATTTCTCCCAAACACCGGCTTGTAAAACCACGGAAAAGGCTGTTTAAGGAGCGGGACGGAGGTCACTGTCTCGTTGATGTGATTGTTAAATTGTCACCTTGACAAAACCAAACTGACAAGAGCACGACAGTTTGAGCTCTAAACGCTGTTGCTTCTGCTGTGGAGAAACGGGCCTGCGCTGCTGCAGTACCTTTGCTGACAGGAGCGTGTCCCTTTGTTGTTCACTGTTCTCAGCTCTTGGGGATTGTTCTAATAAAGGTTTGGATACAAACACGCGTCCCTCTGTGCTGCCGGGGACCCGCGGGCGGGCGCTGCCGGGGACCGGGCTGGAGGCGGAGGGGCCGGGGCGGGCGCGGATCAGGTCGGTAGAGCCGGGCCGGGCGGTTCAGTGCCGCTGCCCGTGCCCGCAGCGAAGGCCCCGCTCTGCGGGTGTGGGAACGGGGCTGGGGTTAGGGTTAGGGGGAGGGTTAGGGTTAGGGTTAGGGGGAGGGCTCTGCTCGGTCCGGGTCGTTACGGGGCTGCCGGGGTCTGTTTGAGCCGTGCAGTAGCAGAACACGGCGGAGGGCGGGAGCCCCTTCTGGGACCTCCTGGCGCCAGAGCAGGGGCGTTTTGAATGAGCCGCAGAGCCCCGGCCTGGTTTGGGTTGAAGGGACCTTGAAGTTCCTCCAGCTTCAAGCCCTGCCGCGGGCAGGGACCCATTCCACTGGAGCGGCTTGCTCCAAGCCCCTGTGTCCAACCTGGCCATAGAAATCTCTTTTTGGGTTTAGGAAACTCACCCCTTTCCCCCTTGTGTTCGTGTGAGCGTAACAGAACTGCTGTTACACACCACGGGCTGACTTCACATGCTTCTCTGGCAGGGGACGTGCTGCTGGTGGTGTTGCCATCACAGATGGAGCTGTAGAAGGCTGGAGGCCAGGTCCTTCTGTAACAAGTAGGGAAATAAAAGCAGGAGCTGCCTGCAGCATGTGGGTCTGGCAGATGGAGAAAACCCACACCGAACCAACAACCCCCAGAACCCCAAAACCAAACAACAGCCACCAACCAAACCCAGTGCAAAAGCTTCTCAGCGGGGAGATCCATCTCTGCAAAGGGAGCACCAGGGCAGTTATCTGGAGCCAGGACAGAGGCAGTATTTGGGCTGGAGGTCAACAGCTAAGGCATGCGGTGTAAGTTGTTGAATGTGTGGGAGCCCTGCCTGAGGGGATGCTCCTGGCATCCGGCAGTGGTTGCAGTGAAACCTGCAGGTAATGTTCTTGTCCCAGCACAGAAAGGCTGATGCTGCCGCTGCCGCTGTCAGCTGGGCAAAACGGCTCAGCCTGGAGGGTTTAGATGCGGGCAAGGCTGGTCCAGGCTGAACACTGGAAGGTGGACGGTAATTGGCATCTTCAGAGGGATACTGGCTTTGTTTTACAGTGAGGCTGATGGAGGCCATGCCACCAGGAAGAGGCAGAAGTCTGGCAGAGAGCAGATGCTTGGAAGAGCTAAAAGGTGCTGCAGTTCTACAGCACATTTCATGAAAGCACTTCTTTCTTCTTCCTTTCTTTTCACATTTGATCAGACACAGATTTGGCCGATGCCGCCTGCGTGCTTTTGTTCTGTAGAGCACCACTGGAAAGCTCAGTCCTGACCATGACAATAAGCAACAATAATAGCAAAGCACTGCTCATGTTAAAGCACAGCATCAGGGGTTGAATTCAGGGGATGATGTGAGGCCTTTCCAAATCTCTCATTGTGTACCCAGATACTGGAAGAGACATTTGTAATATAGAAGTTATTGTTAGGGGATTTTGGAGCATAGAGAACCTTTACCATGTGTCTCATATGTACATAGTTATTTTAATTAAATGTGGATTATTTTTTTAAGCTACATCAGTATCTGCTCTTAACACACATGGCCTGTTGGAACTGACTGCCGCTATTCATTATATTGTTCTTCAGAACGTCAGGCTTACTAGCAAAATTCCTTTCTTGCCTCCTTTTAAGTATGTTTTCAGACTGATGTGTTTTATATCTCACATGGTTTTCCTGCCATTCCTATTACTTTTAAATCTAACACTTGGCTGCATGCCATAGAACCTTTAATCCAGCCCCAGATGAGTTCTGGGGAGGAGAGGACACCTTGCATCCCACATGGTGCTGCAGTGGTGCTGGGACAGAGCAGTGGTGTGCCCTGTCTGAAGAAGGAGGCTATGAGGTAACTGATCTGCACTAGTGAAACAGACCCTGGCCGTAAATACAGGATGAAGATGTTTCTGCCTGTGTGTGCGGGTTTGACGTGTACTGCTGGCTGTGTCCTTGCTGCTTCACTTTGCAGATGAACGTTGCTGTTGGTGCATTCTCTCCTGGGACCTGGCATGCTGCTCTGCAGATCCGCACATCTGCAGATGGCTTGGGGAGGGAAAGGAAGGGATTGTTTTATACAGAGCTTCAGAATGCAGTTTCTGGTTGCCATCACTTTCAACACATCTGACCGACTCAATTTCCTGTCTTGAATCAACTTTCATTTCATTAAGTCCCAAGTTTTCATTTCTGTTGGTTGTCTGGGCGAGATATTTTCATTCTGGAGCCTGAAAGAGCCCAAGTTTGGAAAGGAATCAGTGTAGTCTCAGGAGAAGGCTGCGTGCTCACATGCTTAATCTGCTCCAAATGATCATGTCAAAAGTGGGGTTTGCAGTTTGGTTTTATTTCTTTTCTTTGTTTCTTTAGTTTGTGCAGTTCCAGTTCCTTGCAGCAATACAAAGTGCTTGAAGAGCACCATCCCACTGGTATGGTTAACTCATGGTTAATCACAGTCTAACACTCAGCTGTAGTGGTTTGGGGTCACTGGAGCTTTAACAAGTCAATGTTATATGTTTGACTTTAATATTTAGTGGCTTTTGTGTCCAGTGGTGGCCACTCTTCCTGAACTGATGTCATGACCAGAAACATGTAACTCAATGTGCAGAATGTTTTAGCATCCTTGCCCACTGCCAAGGTGCCTGTACAAATTCCTGCGGAGACACTGAAGATCAGGATGTGTATTGAATGGTAACGCTTCTCTGAGTTAAACTGTGCATAACATACATGCACGTGTTGTTTTGTGTTTTAAAATCGTATTTGGGGTAAGTGCCATGTATCCATGGATCCATGTCACAGGAATTTCTGCTGATTGTTTCTGAAAGTAGTAAAAAAGGTGGTTGTCAGTTGTTCCCGCGTTCAGTGAATTACAGTTCACATCCTATTTGAATGATACTTTTACAGTTAGCTGTCTCAGATAACCTGCTAGCTCCCATAAAAACCCAAGCATTCCCTTGTGTGATTTTTCTCTGTGGAGTAGCTGTCTTTCAAATGCAATACCTCATTTTTAAGACAAGGAAATGTGTAACTTTTATCTGCCAGTGCCCTGTTACTTGTTCTAAGTTCCCTGTGTTCCAGCAATGAACTTTATTTGCAGGAGGTCCGGATCAGGAGACAGCCTTCTCCCGTGAGGTCAGCTTGGGATGGCCGCTGTTGTAGGATATCACTGGGGGGCAGGAGGGCTTTAAGAGATAATCCCAAAGGGGAACCCCGCAGGCCAGGAATGTTGGGGAGAGCTGACGCAGAGCCGTGTGTGCCCAGCAGGGTGAAGCTGGCGGTGAGCAGGGTGCGGAGGGTTGTGCGAGGGGAGGAATGTGCAGTTCTCAGGCAGAGCAGGAAGGCGCGAGGTCTTTTCACAGGATTTCTGTTCATTTGCTGCTTGTTTGTGTGGGGAAAAGAGAAATTCGCGAGAGCAGAAGAGCAAAGATGAGCACTGGAAGGGAGACAAATGATGGATGGAGAGTCAAACGCTTGATTGTGGTGAGGCCACCGGTGCTGCTGCCCCTGGTGATGATGAGATGCTGTAGAGCTCATGGGTCTCACATCACACTTCAAGAGTCAGTTCTTACTGCATTGTTCTATTTTTTAACCTAAGGGCTGCACAGCTATGGGGAACAGATGAAGTGAGCACGCTTTAAAGCACAAACCAAATGGAAAGAGAAAACTCACACATATAAAACGCTTTTTAAAGCATTTTTTGAAGAAAGACTGGTCTGAGCTATACCCTGAATTATTTTTTTCCCTGATGATAGATTTTACAATGGTCAATACCTGTTTGCTGGTACATCCTGGTACAGTCCCTTCTGAGGGTGTAAATACCCTCTTACAACAGTGATATGTTGATTAGCTTTTTGTCATCTTAATGTCTGCATGAATAATTGCTTCCACATAAGAACATTATGTACTGAGATCAGAGCAGTCACCATGGAGCGCAGCTGTGCTGGAGCAGGTAGCACAACACAAAGAGGCAAAGTCTTTGTTCTGTTGGGTGCTTCAAAAGCAAGTTCCCAGAAGTTGCTTCTTTGCACACAGAGAAGTCACCAAAACCTTCTGCAAATTTCTATTAATATAAAATGGGAAAGAAAATGAATGGGAGCAGGAAAATGTGCATCTTTATAGAGCAGTGTTTAAAGTGGACTTTGTGGGATTTGGAGGGGAGACCTTTTTCTTGCAGAAGTAGTACTGTCTCCTCATTTGATTTGTTCTGGTTTGAGCCACTTTATCAAGGTTGCTCTCTACAGATTTTTTTTTTCCCACTGCTTGCTTTGCTGAGTTCAGGCCTTTCAAACTGAGAGAGCAGAACACTCGCTGACCAGGATACTTGCAGAGGAAGACCAGGGGATGTGACTGGTCTGCAGGCAGTGCCTGACATAGCTTAGGGAGTATTATTTTTCTCCCCCAGCCCTGGTCCTCCTCCTGAAGTAAGCTGCAATTTTCTCATGCTGGAAGTACCTCTCATATCAGTAGACTGACTGTGGGTGTCCTCATCAGGTTGATCTAGAGTTTCTAATGAGAAGGGAGGGAGAGACAGTCTGTGATGCTCCAGCAGCCTGGTGAGAGAAAACTGCTAAAGCTGAGACAACTTCTGTTGTGTCCCCTCATTTGATGACAGTGAGACAGCAGGTCAGGCGTCAGCACTGATTCTAAAATCACTGTCATATCTTTCATCTCAGGGGAGTATATTTGGAAAATAGAGGGCACAGTGCGCAGACTTATGTTGCTAGCAAAAAACCTAACTGCCAGACACTTCATCCCTCAAATCCAGGATGTTCTGAATAGACAAAGAATGGATTTTTGTTCTTGAGCCAGTTTACACTTGAAACCCCCTGACCTTACAACCTTTACTGCTCCTCAGAAGCTGTATGGCTGGGCTGGACTCGCAGGCACGTTAACAAATATGTGGTCTCCTTGATGCACCTCTGGGGAAGAGCACGTATTGTGCTTCCAGATGATGTCCTTACACACCGAGCTCTGTTTGTAAAATGCTTAGAAACTATATGGACACTATTGGAGTAGCTTAGATCAAAGAATTAAGCCCTTGAGCTTCTAAGCATGAGTTCAGAAAGAGAGTTACTGCCTTTGTTGTGAACACTGGTGTTCTGGATGCCTGTGGTTTTGTAACAATGCCTTAAAAAGCATGAGAGAATTAAGCACAGTCTCAGGAGGGATATCCAACACTTATCTCAAACAGCGAAGATGTCACATACCTTCTTAATGTCCCTGCTGAACTGTCAAAATACCAACTTGGAAAAAACACATCCAGGTAAAGGTGGCTGCATCGGCATCCTGGCTGGGCTAAGAAACAGCAGAGCAGTGTGGGACCACCTGTGTGCCCATCAACAGAACCATGCTCTGTTTACCTTACACTTCATTCTGCCTGTGTAGGAGAAGAGGAAAACTCTTTTCTTAGCTGCGCTAGGCATTAGGTATGGAACAACAATACTCAATGACATCTTCATGCAGGAGAGTTTGGATTTGTAGCTCTGAAAAAGCTGGGATTCGTATGTTCTGTAATCACCTCGTATTCTAGCTTACCATAATAATTTTTTGTCCGTAAGAAGGCTGAATGCTGCAGCAGAGCAGTGTAATGCAAAGTTAGCTCCTTTTTAGCATTGCTAAAGGTCTGTTGTGTGCTGACAGAGCAGGAAGTGTCCCAGTACCTCTGCCTGGTGGCAGTACAGCTCAGTGGGAATTGCTGTCAGCTGGAGAAGCCTCCTGTATGACTGCAGCAGCCGTGGTGCTTCAGCTTAGTGCATGAGAGCAAATTCTTGGTAGTCCAGAAGCAAGGTATTGAGGCAGCTGTGTCATAAACAGCAAATATAGTAAAACCGAGTGTTACATGTAGATAAAACTATTGGAAAAGCCAAATGAAGCCACGGAAGAGCCTTTTTGCAAGAGATCAGTCCAGAGGCTAAATGGTTTCACTCTGTGTTGCTGCTGGCATCCATTCACATCGAGAGTCACCAGTGCTGGATTGTCATTACAGCACAACTGTATTGGGTTGCATCAAAATGCTCCTGCACCTAGAAATATCAAACAGACTGTACATTCTGGGTCAGAGCAGTTTCCTGGACTGCTAGTTGGTTAGAGGACACGCTGATAAACCAGCTCAGTTCCTCTACTTGCCTTGGAAGGATCTCTGTTTGAGTCAAACCAGCCATCCAGAAACTGAGAGCAAAGCACCGTATCTCTTTCTACACCTAAAAATGAGCAGGGATATATTTATTTCAGCTGGTTCCTTGGGAATACTTACTTTGCTCTTCGCAGGAAGGAGCTGCAGAAGGGGAACATGAAGGAGAGAATGCCATGGAGGAGGATGCACTTGTACCAGGTAAATTTGGTGTAGCTGACCAGGGAAGACGTTACACATTGAAAAGGCTCCACTGCTAAGATATTAATTTTATTTTATGTTTCAATTCCTTGGCATCCATTTCATAGAAGAGCAGATTTTAAACTGTTTGGTTCTGGGAGTTTAAGTTTGCCTAAATCAGGATCAAGGATGGAATATAAAACCGCCAGCCCTAAAGAGTATGAGAAAGACCAAGTGTTGACAATGAGCCAGGTGGGGATAACGCTGGATGCCAGGGTGGAGAACAAATGCAGATCAACATTAAGGTTATTTTTTTCTTTTGGAGGCTGCTCATGATGTGTAATTTCTTTAAAACAGAATGCAAAAAACATTTGGTAGGGGGTTATTTTAGCATATATGGAAGAGCTAAGAATGACTCAGTAAGTCTTTTCTTTGGACTTCATTTTATACAGTAAACTCCCACTGGAGAGAAAACCAACTCTCATACATTTGTGTTAAAGTTATTACCTTTTTTTAAATTTTATTTTATTTTTATTTAATTACTATTACCAGACCGACTGGGAAAAAAATCTGTAAATAATCTTAAAGCAATGGTCTTGTGAGAAATGGACCTCCAGAGTTTGGGATTGTGTTGTTCTAAGTGACAATCCCAAACGCACCCGCTTTTCCAGATTTAGGTAGTTGGTGAAAGCACACAGTAAGTACCTGCAGCATTCCTGTTTCTTTTAACCACGAGGGACAGAGAGGCTGCATGAATGGACCTGGCTCCGAACACGTTCTGGAGTCAGCGTTTCTTAACAGGGTGAGCATTAGTTACATCCTTACCTATAACTGAATCCTCTTACACCTTAAAGGAAAAACTATTCTGCTCAAAACCAGGGCAGCTACATAGGACAACAGGAGGTTACTCTGAAATGGATGTTAGAATTGCATTCCATTACTGTGCATTAAAACCAGGTAAAAAGTACTGCAGTAGGTACCCACTACCGTACCTTGTTCTCTCATGTTCTACCCAAGAACACGTGAAAAAGGGTTATCGGATCGGTATGTTTTCATTTTTAAAAGAAACAGGAGAGTTACAGTGTGCAAACATACACTCCAGTGTAACTCGATTGATAAACAGCTTAGAGGCAGCCCGTGCTTTGTTACTGATTTGTACTATCTTTTTCTGTCCCTAGATGTCCCTGTGCTGGAGGCTCAGCCGCACAGACCTGAGCTGGGTTTTCTGGATGAACTCCACCGGTTCAGCAGTTTTCTGCTCTTCGTTTAAGCTAATGATAACTTTTGTTCCATTTTTTGAGAACTCGTGCTTGTCGCGCTGGTAGGGACTCTTGTGGCAACTCTGAGGGCTTCGGTTTCCATTGTAGAATGAGTCGGAGTTCAGAGTCAGCTGCCAACAACAGCAATGCGCAGAATGCAGTTGGCAGAGGTTAAATATTTGGACTTGCAAATGTTTCTCTGCTGCAGGCGCACACACTTTTCTCAGGAGCTGTCTAGGGAGTACGTGTGGAGGAGCTGCATGTTTGGAGTTCAAATGTGTGTTGCTGTAATGGTGAAAGCTACGGTGAAATCAGTGGTACAGAATCCAGTAAACCATTAGCCAGGGCTGGTTACGGGCGCTTCTGCACAGGGCCAGCAGAGTGGTGGCCTTTGTGGATCTTCTAACTTGGTATTCATGTCACTAGCGAAGAATGGGGGTGACCACCTCAGGGATTACAGCAGGTCACAGGTGGCTGGACAAAAAGCAGGAAGCAGAAGGCTTGCAACTTCCACTTTAATAATACATCCATCCATCATAAACCAGCTGCCGTTCTGAACTAAAGAGAATCAAGTTTATCTGTTGGAGACTAGTGCGACTTCTGAATAAGTAATGATTTTAAATGCAACTTAATTTAAAAGCAAGACAAGAAAAAGGGGGACAAAAGCACAGATTCTTGTGTCAAATATTTCTGGAAATAGCATCTTTTATGAAGAGGCCGACCCTTGTACATCTATGTGACTACCCATCCTTTTTACATCACTAACCGTGCATGTCCTAAGGAGGGGTGTATTGCAAGATGGAAACACAGGGTTCAAGAAGGCAATGCCATATATCAGAGCTGAGCTGTAAAATTTCATAGGAGGGGCAGGGGGAAAGACAAGAGTCATCAGTCTCTTCAGAAATGAAAGCTATTTGTGACAGTTATCTGTACTTATAAAAAAGAATTAATAAAGGTGGAAGTACAATAAGACCAACTTGCCTAAACTTTAAGCAACTCTTCAACTCTATATGTAGTCATAGAAGGGATGCAGAAAGTAGTTACGGTTACTATAATGCAAATGTAGAAAACAGCTTCTGGCCAAAAAGCAAACTCATGACATCAGGCAGCATTAGCAAATGTCAGCAAGGGCAATGTGTACATCTATTAATAAATCTAACCAGGAGTGATGCTAGTGCTGGCCTGTTACTCAGAGTCAGAATTATAGCCAGGGAACACCACAAGTCCAGACCAGACCCTCACCTGTGTCAGTTTTGACCAAAAAAACCCAGACAAACAGAAAAGGAAATCTCTGGTCAGGTCCAATCCGATTGTCTCCTTGGAGAACTGAACCAGGCAGCAACCTCCCCACATCATTAACTCTTATTTTTGAGGGACACCAGGATAGATGCTGTAGGAATAGATTGCTTCTTCACTTTGCAAACTGATGTACTAGCAGCTTCTCATAATAAACAGAGATCCTTTAGAAGCTCTGTGGAGCATGCGCTAGGCAGGACACTTTTCATCTCTGTTTCTACCTCCTCCTCCAGCAGGTTGAATATAATACATTTTAAGTTTTATTTTACAGTGCAATTACTTGTTCCAACACATTACATGAGCCAGCCCCAACTTGCATTGGTTAGGTCAGGGAAGGAAGGGGAAGAGGAGTGGAAGTTGATAGCCAGCCTCCTCAGAGGTCTTTTGAGACACAACTGTAACTTTTATAGTGATATTTCTTCCTTTGATGACCTCTTGATGCAAAATATGTTTTGGATCTTTAGTTCCATTTTGGATTTCTTAAGATATGTAGCATTGAAACTATTAGCAAGTGTCATATGATCATCCTATAATGTAGGCTAAACACTTTGGCATCAGAGAACATATTACAAAGTTCTCTGCAAAAGCATCTACAGAGCACTAGGCAGAGCTCCATATATTTCTCTGTACAAGATCCCTTAAGCAAGATGTTAAGATGCATTATTTCATACATCAATTTGAAATTGAACCTGTGCAGTCTAAAAGGCACTGACTGAGCATACTGCATATTCCTGCTGGAACTATAGCTTCATTCTCTTTCTGTGAAGAGAGCCCACTCATTTCCTCAGCACTGCAGTATCCAAGTTAGGCTTTAAACAGCAACAACAAGACCAGATCCTCCAATGGAGCTTCCTATTTTCTACTCTACACTTACAAATAGCTGCTCAGTCTTTCGTAGCAGCAAATGAATTCTCCTGCTTCCTATTTTCATAGGGAAATGGGAAAATTGCTCCCTATTTACCTTAATCCTGCACTGAACAGAAGAGGGTTTCATAAATAAGACCAGACTTACTTTGTTTCAGGCTACTTAAAGCTGCTTAGTCCCCTAGAGTGACTAATCACTTTTCTTTAAAGGGGACTTGACACAAGGCAGGTTGCATTTTAAATTACCAAAATTAGCATTATTTAGCATTTAAGTGGTAAAACTTCAGCAGTAAGGTTGTCCTACTTGTATAACAGACCCAACAAATGGACAAAAACCAGTCTGTCTGCTGATACACATGCAGTTTTGTACCATACAGCTGCACGGAGCTAGCTTAGGTACTGAAAACAGCATACTGGATCCAGCATCCCACACAGAGTATTGCGCTAAGAAGTTGTTATGTACATTAGAATAAAATGCAAAGACAGTCAAGTTCCACAGCACCCTGTCTGTGGTGTTCTGCGAAACAACTGTGGCAGGATAATATCAGCCTAAACAAACCACTGTGTCAGTGCAAATACACTGCTTTTGCTAACTCAGATTAGCTCAGACATCTGCGAGCAGCACTTGAAACAGTGCCAACGTTTAAGTTATGGAACTTAAATAACTGTGAGCTTGAAGTTATGCTCTCAGAAGCCCTTATCCTTCCGTGGTGGCAGGGAGACTACTGCCATTTCCACATTGAAATGGTTTCACCAGGACAGTTAAGTTTCACAGAATAGAGACACTAACTCATAGCTCGGAGAGCATAACAGGACATGGACACACACACCTTCAAAGTACGATTTCCTTCTGAAGCAAGTAAACTTTAGGTGTGTAAATTTGATCTACCAGTCTTAAATCCTTGAAGGAAACTAGTCTGTGAAGACAAAAATCAGTGGAATTGCCAGTATGCACTAGCCTTTGTCCATGGAATCAGTGTACCAAAGCATGCTTTGCGATTGAGTCTTAGCACATGAACATTTAAAACACAGTAGACTTTCGTGCACTTGATTGATTCCAGCCTCTGTTCTATGCAGTTTGACACAGGTCAGTTCAAATACCAAACTAGAATTTGCTTTACAAATGCAGACTCTAAGTATTGCATATTATGTACACAGGAGAAAAGCACTGAAGAAAGCAGAAGGTGACGTAGTAAAGATTCACGGTTAAAGCAGAGGAGAATTCAGGTTCTCCACTTGCTGCCTTGAATCATAGTTAAATGTCCTATATACATCCATCCTATACATCCACCATTTCCCTCACCGTGCAGCTGCACACCTGCAGGAGCAGCACTGGTTTCTGTATACTTACTTGAAAGATGTGTCTGGGGGTGTTTCAAGACCCATCTAAGCCCATTTAAAAAAAAAGGGATTTTTAAATCCCATTGGGACAGATATGAACACTCCTGAAAATCCAGTGTAGTGCACCTAAAGCGTACCAGGGACCTTCTCTTTAAATGGAAGATTCGAGTTCAGCACTTGGAGAGGACCCCGGCGAAGCCACGGACACACAGCACCACTCTTGCTTGGCATGCTACAGCAGAAACTTTATTCAGTTCATTTGGAAAATATTTGCAACCAAAATTTATTTTTGTAAACTCACAGAAATAAGCTTTAACATAGAGGCTGTTACAACTCAAATACAGGTAATACTTTCAGCAATAACTTACAGATACAAACTAATGATAAACTACAATTTCACAGAGAATTGTAAACATTTTGCACAATTGTCAGTCCTTTCTTTTAGGCAAGGTGCTCTTTTGATGGCAAATAAATTAACACACACATAACTAGAGTGGACTACTTCCAGACAATACAAAAAGGTGTTGAATAAGGCTTGTAAACAATGTAATAGTTATTTATGCAGAATCCATAAAAGTGTCTTGCAGGCTAAATATACTTACATACCTGGGCAGCAAAACTGATCTTGAAAATGCTTTAGATGTTAAATAAAAAGTGAACATTAATATCTTTCCAATGGTACTTTTAATACTCGATAAATGACTTAAGGTTACACCCTTAATAGTTTATATCCCTGACAGAAAGGAGTTAGGTGTGACTTAGTGGCAGTTGTGTCATTGAGTGGGGTAGTAGAGGCTGGAGTCCAAGAGCTGTCGGAGAGTGAGCTACAAAACCAGAAATATTTACTGGTCAGCTTCAGGGGAGGTACAAAAAGATCACAAGCAAGTAATTCCCATTGGGCACAGACAGTCCTCTGGTCCCAAGCACTGCAGTGTGCTCTCTGTGTCCCAGCCCCGCATCCACGCACAGCCGACCTTACACCCCTGCTCTGGAGGGAAATAAGCTCAGGCGACACGTGCAGCTCGGAGCCCAGTTCCCCCCAGACCTTCACAGTCCTTCCTAATCACAAATACAAGCCAAAGCTGTTGACTTGCTGGACCATAAGGACACGCAACAACTGAAACATACTTTTGACCTCTGGGTACCGCCTCCCCATGCATCACTGGGAGGGAAGCCAGAGTTTTTGGTGAAGCTGCTGGATTGAGTGTAACTACAGTCCTTGGGGTAAGAGCCAGGGAGTGGGTGGTCTTAAAATTACCTATTATTAGAAACTTGGCAGGGATGCTTAAGAAAAGTGTTTGGTCTCTTATTACTAATATTCATAGGCTGGAGGAAGCACAAGAAATGGTCTTCACACCCAGATCTTTAGCTCTGCTCTTACAGTGAAGGGCCACGGATCGAAGAGGGACACTTCTTAATGGAGTGTAGATACCAAGTAGTAATAACATATAGAATCATAGAATGGTTTGGGCTGGAATACGCCTTAAAGATAATCTGGTTCCCAACCCCTGCCATGGGCAGGGACATACTAGGAATTAAAAATCCTTCAAGTTTCCTTACTCAGTACCTGATAAACTGCTCTTGCTGGAGTCACTAATGATTTTACTTGGGTATGTGACGTTGCTGTACCTACCATCCATATAGCTGTGTAGAGCAGTTAACATCGTTCCATCCTGGGGTACGTATGCGGAATACGCCATTTCCTCTAACATGGGTGGAGACAGCCTGGAGGGCTGAACTGCTGTCACAGGAGCAGTAGATGAATGATTAGGACTAACGTGTTTCTTATGGCGTGCTCTGCAATTTTGAAACCACACCTGAAAAGGGGAAAAAATTTACATCATGTTGACAGATGGCATGCTGTTTCAACATTAGCATAATAAAAACACCAGAGTTCTAACTTCAGCTGAACTCAGTTAGTTAATCGGGTCTTTGGCATAACACTGACAGTCCAAATGAAGAAACATCCAGTCAAAGCCTGCAGGGTGCCTCAAATGAGCATGGTCAAACCAGGGAAGCTCCAGCAGTGACCAGCACCCCCAAAGGGCAGGCAGGGTGCAGGGCTGCACGGGGCACAGCCAGCGCTGTCCCTCAGCACATGGCTGACCATGCAGTGGCTGTTCACAGGATACGCTTTCCTCTTTGCATTGAAAAGTATACAAAATTCCTTTTTTTGCTGCCAGGTACCTTGTTTTTGGCAGCAAAACTGTCAATCTTCCAGGCCAGAACAAGCCGAGGGAACTGCAAACGTATTTTTATATAAACACATAAATGTTTAATTTATACAATATGAAAATTCATAGCTACGCTGAAAGAGCATGCTTATACTGTTTGCTGAGAGGCATCGTCAGCATAGATTCGAGGTTTGTCTTTCCCCCTGTTTTGGATGGCATGGGTGTATGCTTCAGCTTTGCTTTCTAGAACAGGTCACTCGATACCCACTTGCTCCCGAGTGCCATTTTCTCGGATTGAAGCTCTTAAGAACAGACTATTAAAGTAAAAAAAAATAAAATATCGGTATTTAGAAGACCTTAGTGCAATTTCTTTATCATTTAGGCTGAGAAGTTTCTTCCTGGAAGATTATTAATCCTCTACACAACATGCAAGAGGAATACAAGAAGTTTTCCAAATTCACGTTTATTCTAGACCTATTCCTGACCAAGGATGTTGTCCGACGTTATGTGAAAACTGCCAGATTAGGTCTTTTTCCATCTCAGAGTAACTACGTGGGGAAAGTTGTTATTGAGCATTTCCAAAGAATGAGTACCAGCCTTTGTCATTCAGCGTCTTAGCACGGTTACCTGTATAACACGCCTGCTCAAGCCTGTTCTTTCGGCCAGTTTCTGGAGTGTTTGTGCATCTGGATTGTTGTCCTGAGCAAACTGTGCTTGCATAACCTGAAACAGCAAGATAAGAGATGGCAGGTTTGTGTGCGCAGTACTGAGAGCAGCATTAGGGACTCCTCTAAGACCGAGGTCCTACTCCTTCCTTTAATCACTTCTCCCTGACAGTCCCAAATACATTAAGGAAAAAAAAACAATAGAAAATCCCCCCAATCCCTTTATTCTGCTCAACTGAGCTGCACCGTTTACCAGGAATGGAGTGAATTCTGCTTGGCAGTAGTGAAACATGCAGGGGGTGCTCAGTGAGGGTGGCATTAAAAGGACTGAGAGAAAATTCACTACAGAGAAATTTGAACGTCCCTGATAATGTCTATAGCTGCAGACCACAGCGCAAGGAAGGGATTTTGATTCACCTCTCTGAATGTGTCAGTCTCTGTCTGCATCTTGTGTTACACGGAACAGCTTAACCCTCTTTGCAGCTGCACAGAGGGTGGACTTGGAAGTTGCTTGTGCCTCCCTCACCTTTAACCAACCCAAGGAACGCAGTGGATCCCCCTCGCCTGCCCTGCGCTATGCGGCTGTTCGATTACACTTCTCTGTTACAGAAAGCTGCTGTC